GAAAGACAGTGAAGGGAAAGGAGGAAGAAAAGAAGGAAGAGTTAAAAGTGGACAGTCTCTCAGAGAAAAGGCTATGGCCTAATGTAGAGATGTGGGTGACTTCCTAGACAATGGCAGATCTCAGTCCTAAAGGGTAACAGAAGATAGTGTGTGAAGAAAGCAAGGAGGACAGCATGAGTCAAGGTTGTGAGGCATGAAACAGCTTGATGTGGCAGCAAATCAAAAACAATCTGTTTCCTCTGACAACTAACTTTGAGGCAATGTGGTAGAGGAGATAAGCCTGATGAAGAAGACAGGAGTTCAGTGTTGTCAAGCTCAGGAATTTGGACTTGAATCTCTAGTGTTGACAGATTTGAGGCAGGAGAGTAAATGGGTCAGACTTACATTTAAGGCAGATCAGACTGGCTGCTCTCAGGCAGGTGAAGTCAGAGAAGCCAGTTAAGATGCTACTGCAAAAGCCCAGGTAAAATCCAAGAGCCTGAACACAGGTAGGAGTAATAGGAATGAAGATGGGGTTCAAGTTTGAGCACTGATTAAGAGCTAAGATCAACAGTGATTATTAATAATCATGTGTTTGCTCAAAATACTTCAATAGCTCTACCACTGCCTACAGCCTATAACCAACAGGACTGGCAGTAGGCAGCAGATGCAGAGGTGGTAAGAGAGGGAGGTACTTCGAAAGATCTTCAGAAAGAAAGAATGCAGAGGGAGGTCAGATGATAAAAAGGAATATAATCTACTGCCATAAATTACCAGAATCCCTTTCACAATTCTCCCTGGAACTGTAAATTTTTACTATAGTAAAATGATGAGAGATTACAATACCCCTTTTATCTTTGGGCTAAAACAGATCAGCAATCTGGTCCATTGCTTGTTTGTTTGTTTGTTTGTTTTTTTAATAAATAAATTTTTATTGCAACATGGTCACAGTTGTTTATGTTATTGTCCATCGGCTGCTTCTTGTTAAAATGACAGAGATGAGTAATTGTAACAAAAACCATTTGGTTTACAAATCCTTAAAGATACACTATTTAGCACTTTTTAGAAAAAGCTTGCCAATCTCTGAGCTGGAAGGCTGAATGAAATGGTTTAACAAAACCTGATCTCAAATCTCCATATCCAGAGCCCTTACAAATCTCACAAAGCTGGAAGATTTAAAAAAGCATATCAATCATGAGGCCTAGTGCAGAACTTTTAATTAGCTGCTAGTAAAATCAAACTGAAACTCTTCTTAGGAAATGGGAGTTTTGATGACAGAAATTTGGACCATGCAGTACCACAAACTGGGTATTTTTGTAAAGTTGGAGAAGAATGGTATCACTGCCTTCCATTCTTAAGGAGAACAATAGGTAAGAGCAGGCCTAACGGGTTCATGGAAAAATCCCACTGCAATGACTCTGGGGGCAGAGGATGCCCTTAATTGGACTGCTGGCACTTAGCTGGTCTTACTTCTGCCTCCTGAAAACTTCAGAGTGATACTGTGGAGAGTGAAACTCTAAATGAATAGACTCTGGGATGATTCACAGGAAAATCAAAGGGGAGATATTTCATAGGAAATGGTCCAAAACTGGCAGCAGGAAGTAAACAGGCATTGAGAACAGACTATGCCTATGTGCCCTTAACATACCAACTAAGTTAATAAACACAACAGTTTGAAAAAATACATGTAGGGGCTGGGGTCATGGCTCAGAGGTAGAGTGCTTGCCTAGCATGTGTGAGGCACTAGGTTAGAATCTCAGCACTACATATAAATAAATGAATAAAATAAAGATCCATCAACATCTAAACAAATATTTTAAAGAATACATTTATTTTGTTCATCTTGTAAAATGGTACGTAATTATTTCTTCTCTCAATTCAGCCAGCCTGAGCTGTTTCCTGGCTTGGAGTCTTATTAGTTATAAATCCTAGCACACTTTCTGTTTTTTTTTTTTTTTGAGAGAGAGAGAGAGAATTTTTTTAACTTTTTTTTTTTTTTTTTTTTTTTTTTTTTTTTAGTTTTTGGTGGACACAACATCTTTATTTTATTTTTATCTGGTGCTAAGGATCGAACCCAGCGCCCCACGCATGCCAGGCAAGCGCGCTACCACTTGAGCCACATCCCCAGCCCCACACTAGAAAGAAATTTATTATAAGGTATCCGTTTGTGTGATTATAGAGACTGAGAAGTCCTATGCTCTGCCTTCTGTAAGCTGAACACCCAACAAAGTCAGTGGTATAGATCAATGTCTAAGAACCAGAGAGACAATGGTATAGATCCCCATCCAAATCTGAAGGCCTAAGTACCAAAAGTGCTGAGGGAAGGAGAAAACTGATGTCCCAGTTCAAATAGTCAGGCAAGTAAATTCAACCTTCTTCTACTTTTTTTCTTCTATTCAGGCCCTCAAAGACTGGATGCTGCCCATCCACATTGGGGAGGACCATGTGCTTTCCTCAGTTAACCAATTCAAATGCTAATCTCTTCTAGAACACCCCCAGAAATAATGTATAGCTAAGATAGCCAGGAATTCCATCTCCCAGTCAAGTGTAAACATAAAATTAACCATCAAGACTAATAGAAGGTAATAACAATCATAATATATAAATAATTATGTTAGCTAGTTGGATTCTCCTTACCATGGACAACAGTCTATTGATGGCCACTGCCCGTTGTTGGGCTTCTATATGAGGCATTTCATTCTGAATTACTTGGTCTGTGATTCCATGAGGAAATTGATGGCACAGTTCTATAATCCTAGAAACAAAGGTATTAATGATATCATTTATATTTACCTGCTTCAAGAGGCAGTGGTAGAGAAGTACAAGCACAATAGTTTGAAATTGTGCCTTTTCTTTATTCACATTTGGCTGATACTCTGAGTTTGTATGACGATTTTGAACCAAAGCATATTAAAAATTGAGGAAGTTGGGCTGGGCCTGGGGCTGGGGCTCAGCAGTAGCACATTTGCCTGGCATGTGTGAGGCACTAGGTTTGATTTTCAGTATCATGAAGAATCAAATTTAGTTGTCAATAGACCTTTATTGACAACTAAAAATATATTTTAAAAATGATGAGGTTGCTTTTTAAATACACATTTACATTATTAGTGTTATTTAAGGGGAACACTTCTTTTCATCAGATATAAATTTTAAATTAGCACAAAAGTCTAACAAAAACAGAAACAATATTAAAGCTGAGATTTCAATGTTCTCAGCTGAAATAAGTATAACAAAATTAAGTAGTAAATCTGAAAGCAAGAAACAAATGCAGACTTTTTGCAACTTCAGGAAAAGTTCCTGCTATATTATTCCAAATAATTTTTCCCATGTAAAATAAATGTCCAATAGTTTCTGGCATGTGGGAAGATAATGTTTGTTAAAGTCACAATGAAGCCTCATGGAGAGAAGCTTGGCTATATAAATAGCACAAGTTGAGAAAAGGTTTACTCTCCAAACCTATTAAACTGGATGAAACAAGATCAGTAACAGCCATCTAGTGACATTACAGGAGGTCTCATTCCCACTGGAGGTCGAGGAGGCCCACCTTGGTAAGAGGATACCACTGGCAGGCAGTTCCTGCCCATACAGAAGCTTAGCACCAGGAAAGTAAATTGGCATGGCTTGATTCTGACCACCATACTGACCATGAAGTGGCATTGGGTGTGGGGGTCTCATTCCTTGCTGCTGTGGGATGCCTGGCTGTGGTGGCATCATACTTTCAATTGGTCCAACTGGTGGATTACCAATAAATGTGGGCACTTCTTTTGGGAAGTGATAAGGAAGTGTTAAGATAATTCATCATAACCGGTGCCTGTTTTTATAATTAGCCCTTACAAATAAGTTCAGATCTTGTTTTTGGATTAATAAATGCGTTGTTTATAACAATTTAAAAAAGTCAGGGTCTCTTAAAACTATGCGATAATGTAGAATTCACTGTTATCGAGTATATAACATTGGAAAAAGCTTTAGATGCCCTAAAATCCTGAGTTCAATACTTCTTCTAAACCTTTCGGGTTAATGTTGCTTTGTAATCGCAAACTGAACCCTAACTTGGCCCAAACGTTCTATTGTAGAAGTTCCCTTAAGTGATGGAGCAATTCTGAATTAGAATATGTATCCACAAGTACTGCGGGGGGGGGGGGGGGAAAGGCAGGTCTATTTTCAGAGCACTGATTTCCTTAACATAGGTAGTGCACCAAACAGCATCCGGGCAAAGTCAGTTATACCCATCATTGCAAGCTGTCAATCCCGTCTGGAACTTCTGAAGTCCTGTTCTCCTGGGGAAGGGTATTCAGAATCCAGCACTTTACTTCCCCGCGTGCTCACTCAACCTGCTCCGTCCACTCCCAAGGAGTCCTGGAGAATGGATCCGGTTGCCTAAATGACCGCCCCTCTGCGGGAGGAAAGGGGGGTCTGGAACCGGGAACCAAGCCTCTCTGGCTTACCTGTTTTCTATTTCGACCGGATCCGCGTCGGGCGGCTGCACCTTCACCTTCACCTCCGCCATTAGGGCTCAGTTCCTGAACCCTGGAGAAAGAGACACACGGAGTCACTGGATTACTAACCACAGAACACCGGTAACCGCGGAAGACAGCATAGGCCCGGGCGCGAGGGGCCTTCTTCCTCGTGTCGCAGCCGGTCCTTGCTAGTCTGTCGGCTTGAGGCGGCCAAGCCGCGCCTGCTCCGCACCACTCGCCGGCGCCTACATAGCGTCTTAGTCTTGTGCACAATTTCAATACCTGTCGAACAAAAGAACCTGGTTCTCTTATTCCGAGTAGCAACGTCACCTCTTAGCACTTTTCAATTTCTCGGAAGGCATATTCTTGGATATCTACGGTAAAGCCTTCGGACTAGAGATCCAGGCTCCTACCAGTCTCTCCGCCCAGTGACAGGGGCGGGGCTGGTTGCTAGGAGGCCGATTTTTCCGCCAATCATTTGCCCAGTTCCCAGTGGGCGGAGCGCGCTCACCGCGTCTGTGGTAACCCGGGCTGCGGCAAAGGAGCCTGCAAGAGGCGGTGAGAGACAGGCAACCGGGTTGGGGGAGGCTGAAGTGCCTTGGGGGTCCTGATCTCTGTCCTCGTGACTGCTGGAGGAGGAGGAGGAGGGCCTCCTTTACTCCAACTAAAGGACGCAGGCGTTCCTGACTGCCCCTGATGGACCAGGGCGAGGACCCTATAGGGTCCTATAAGCAAGAAGATGGTGCAGGTGGAGGTAGTTGGGAGGTGGTGGTGGGGTGCTGTTGACCGCCCTCTGCGGTTTGAATCTAGTGATCAGACATTTTTCTCGGTCTCCTTCGCTTGAGGCCCACTGGCCTCCCAAGGGCAGCTACTAGTTCCATGCGCGAATTATTCTATCCATCAACTATTTATTTATGTCTTTTCAAGTATTTTTATTTTAAATGCTTCTCACTTGAATGGAAATGTGCGTAAGGGCACGTTCTCCCGCACTCCCGTGTTCCCGTGTTCAGTCACACTTTTGTCAGGCCCAGTGCTGCGCTAGTATCCGCAGTTTAGATTTTTTTTTTTTTTTTTTTTTTTTTTGGTACTGGGGATTGAACTCAAGGGCATATAACCACTGAGACACATCCCCAGCCCTTTTTTGTATTTTATTTAGAGACAGGGTCTCACTAAGATGCCTAATGCCTCCGTAGGTTGCTGAGGCTGGCTTTGAACTTGTGGTCCTCCTGCTCCCACAGTTTATATTCTTGGCTCTCAATCTGGAACTATCCAACAAGGGAGGTTTTAAGTTCACTCCTTAAGTTTAGTTATCCCACTAATACAATCTGACGAGACTGAAAATGCAAAGATGTTCAGAGCAACTGTGTGTAAGAGTTGCCACAACCAAAACTAAAGACACTAGATATAGTCTAATGCCCAAACACAAATTGATGCATAAGTGTACATAAGTGTATGGAAAATTGTAAATTTAAAAATGAGGATGCAAAAATTAGACTTTAAAAGTTGAGTGAATATGGAAGTTATAATTAGCACTTTCCAACTTCTTGGAAGGCATATTCTTGGAAGGCCTCTGTACTGGTAATTAATAATTTATAAGTACAACAGATTAAAGTGGGAGACTTGTGTTTGTTGATCACTGTTTATATCTGTACTAACTTCCTTTCTCTTCAGAAGTGATGCTTTGCAGTCCTTCTAAAGTGTCTATGTAGCTATCAAATTTAAGAACCACTGTGGTGGTTCCTGGACCATGGACCTGAAGCTTTCCCAGAAGAGTTGGCTCTAAATGAACACTTTGTGCTGCCTACACAGTTCCTTCTGGTCACCCTCTGTGATGACTTGCTTGAGGTCAAGGGTGATGGCCCAATAATTGAAGGAAAGAAAGGGTTATAATAATCCAGACGGAATTGAGTTCAGAGCATTAGTGATGGTCTCTGTTCTGTTTTAGCCATTTAATTTGTCCATTTAAAATGACTCCATTATCCCATCTCATTCATTCATGCTCTTTCTCAACAGCAAAAATAAAGCTGAAATGTAAATTATTTCAATTAAAATGGGATGATATTTGTAAGTGGCATACTCATAATATTCTTTTTAGGTTACACTAATTTTGCCATATTTAAGTAAGTTGCTGCTCTTCGGTTCTTGTATTCAGATATAGGTGCTTAATAGAATTTATTTTTATCCTTTTTTTTTTTTTATAAGGAGAGAATATGACTGCTGGTTCGGTGTGTGTCCCTCAGATCATACCACTTCGGGTGCCTCAACCTGGAAAAGCAAATCATGAAATTGATAACAATACTTTTTTGGAAATGAAATCAGGTAGGAATCATATGTGTTGGAAATTGTTTAAAATAACATTGTCATACTCTTTGTGTTCATGTGGTTGCTGATTCATCTCTTTATATGCTTTCTATACTCAGGATGTTGGGAAGTTTGTAAAACTTCCACAATTCCAAACAATGTTGTACTTTGGTTGTTTAAAACATGGTATATATTTAGATTAAATGGTTAGCTTTGACTAAGCTCTCATTTATATAGGTACACAGTTCCAATTGATTCACCTTAGTTGAATTTAATTTTAATTAAATTTAAAAATTAAAAAAAATTAAAATTTAATTTTAATTTTCCCAGGAAGCTTGTTATTTTGCTTGGATAATAAATTTAACTTACTATGGGCTGGGGTTGTGGCTCAATGGTAGAGTGCTCGCCTAGCAAGCATGAGTTCGAACCTCAGCACCACATAAAAACAAAATAATGTGTCCACCCACCTATAACTAAAGATACATAAATAAATGAATATTAAATAAATAAATAAATAAATTTAACTTACTAATACAGACTTTCAAATGTCTCAGTTTAGAAATGGAATCCTATCTTTGACAACATCTGATGACGTACGGCACTTTACATAGCCTTTCTGAGTCTCAATTTCCTTATAGTAAGATAAAGTTAGTCATATCTGCCACTTGGAGCCATTGTAAGGACTGAGTGACTTGGTATATATGTGAGGTGGACAGGATCCAGCATGTAATAAAATATATTTTAACTATTATAAAAATAAAAGAGAGACTATATCTCCTGGTAATATTTATTCTTCAAACTCTTAAATGTATCTATATACATACACACACATGTACATTTAATGAACATGAGAAATGAAAGCTTTATAGATCCAAAATTTGAAGAAATATTTGTCTAAAAAAGATTTTGAAACTCCAATTATATATTTTAATAAATGTATACAAACTATCTACATTTCTAGTATGTCTCCTATGCTTCCTAGACTAAGAATTCCAACTAAGAATATGGTTACATTATACTATGTCCTCCTTTATCTTAAAAGCTAATTTGATTTTTAAAAATAAGGAACCAAAATTAAAATGTAAATATGTGTGCTCATAGTTCTTATTTTGATACAAGTTTTTGTTTTGATACAAGGTCTCACAAAGTTGCTGAGCTGTCCTCAAACTTGTGATCCTATTGCTTCAGCCTCCCAAATACCTGGGATTACAGGTATATGGCACTATGCCTGGAAAGATACTATTTTTTCAATCTCAGAAATTAGCAAAATTAAAAGAAAAATAGGTAACATACTTTATTGGGGAGATTGTGGTTAAATAGGCATTTTCATGCATGGCGGGTGGCAGTGTACGTTGCTTAATCACCCAGGGAATGCAGTTTGAATATATTAATCAAAAGTACAAATGCAAAGTCAGGCTCAGAGGTATGTCCTAGAGTCCCAGCTACTCAGGGAACTGTAGCATGAGACTTTCGAGTTCAAGGACAGCCTGGGCAACATAGCTAGACACTATCCTAAAAATGTTTACAAATGTACATACCTTTTGATCTGTTAGTACTATTTCTACATATTTGTTTTATAGATGTACTTACAAAAAGAATTCTTTATAGGATTGTTCATTACAGTGCTTATGTTTGCAAAAGAAAAAAGAAAAAAAAAAGCAAACAACCTAAGTGTCCCTCTTTAGAGAATTAAATTGTTGTTCACCTGAATGAGGAGATTGAATGCAGTCATAACAAAAAAAAAGAGAATGTTCTTTATGTGCCAAAATAGAACAATTTCCAAGACATGTTAATAATTGAAAAAAGAAAAGAAATGTATGGAACAGGATATAGTATGCCACCATGAGTGTTAAAAGGGAGGGGAAAATAAGACTATATACCTACATGTACCAATAAAGTTTTTTGGGGGGGGTACGAGGGATTGAACTCAAAGGCGCTCAAACCCTAAGCAACATCCCCAGGACTATTTTATATTTTATTTAGAGACAGGGTCTCACTGAGTTGTTTAGCACCTTGCTGTTGCTGAGGCTGGCTTTGAACTGATGATCCTCCTGTCTCAGCCTCCTGAGATGTTGGGATTACAGGTGTGTATCACCACACCCAGCCCAATAAAATGTTTTTTGAAGGACACTCAGTATACCATTGGTTGTCTTTGGACAGCCAATGTGAGCTCTAATGGGGAGAATTTTCATTGTATAGCATTTTTAAACTTTTGAATTTTTAATCGTGAATTTATTGCATTTATTTTTTTAAATATTTATTTTTTAGTTTTTTAGGTGGACACAATATCTTTATTTTATTTTTATGTGGTGTTGAGGATCAAACCCAGTGTGCTGCACATGCCAGGCGAGCGCGCTACTGCTTGAGCCATATCCCCAGCCTGCATTTAATTTTTTTCAGGAATTACAAGAATCATTTACCAAGTCCAAAAAATATATAATAAGTCATTTCTTAAGAAATGCTAAAGGCTCTGCCAGGCCAGGTGGCAGACACTTGTAATCCCAGCAGCTTGGGAGGCTGACAGAGGAGGATCACAAGTTCAAAGCCAGCCTCAGCAGTGGCAAGGCACTAAGCAACTCAGTAAGACCCTGTCTCTAAATAAAATACAAAATAGTGCTGGGGATGTGACTCAGTGGTCAAGTGCCCCTGAGTTCAATCCCAGGTATTGTACCCACCACCACCAAAAAAAAAAAAAGAAAAGAAAGAAAGAAAAGAAATGCTCAAGGCTGGGGGTATACGTTAGTAGTAGTACACTTACCTAGCATGTGCAAGGCCCTGGGTTGAATCCCCAACACCACAAAACAAAATGAATGAAGAAATGCTCAAAAAAATTAAAAATTAATTTCTGTTTTCTATGTGGATGGTGTTGTCTTAAAAACTGACCTCTATTCTATTTGTATCAATGCCCTGTTAGAGACACAAAAGAGCATAATGGTTCGGGGCTGGGGTTGTGGTTCAGTGGTAAAGCACTTGCCTAGCACAAGTGAGGCCCTGGGTTTGATTCTCAGCACCACATATAAATAAATAAAAAATAAAGGTACTGTGTCCAAGAGCATAATGGTTCAAGAACATAAGCTATGGTTTCAACTGACCAGAAGTCATACCATAATGCATCTATTATTTAGGAAGTTTGTTAATCTCTTAGCGACTCAGTTATCTTATCTAGAAAATGGGCATAAAATAGGGACTCAGATTTATACAGATGAAGTCAGAAGTGAGCTCATTTGGGCTGGGATTGTGGCTCAGCAAGAGCCCTCGCCTAGCACATGCAAGGCCCTGGGTTCCATCCTCAGCACCACATAAAAATAAATAAATAAAATAAAGATATTGTGTCTAACTACAACTAAAAAATAAATATTTTTTTAAAAAGAAGTGAGCTCATTCATGTAAAGCACTGTGCTAACACAGAGAAAGAATTATTGTTAGTTATTTTTAGTTATTTTCATATATATTCAAATTCATATGTGTGAATTTGTATGTGTAGAAACTCCTCAAATAACTGACCTTTAGGCATTATTCAGGGGCTAGCCTCTTTAGTGTTAATTTATAGTTATCCTGTTTTGAATTTTTCAGATACCCCAGATGTCAACATATATTATACCCTGGATGGTAGCAAACCTGAATTTCTGAAGAGAATTGGTTATGGAGAAAATAATACGTTTAAGTATACAAAACCTATTACTCTGCCTGATGGAAAAATACAAGTTAAAGCTATTGCAGTCTCTAAGTAAGTTAAGAAAGTGGTGATCAGACTGATTTATAATATAATGACATTATGTTCTGATTTTACTTATTTATTCCTTTGAGAATTAGTGTTGCATTAGAAAGACACAAAAAACTTAATTGTAGCATATGCAAGTAACTCATTGTTTTATTTGCATTTTACTGAGGTATGCTGTAAAGTGCACAAATCATAAGTGCATTCAATGAAGTGAAATCAATAAGCTCAATGAGTATCAATGTGTATTAACATTGCTTTTATTTCAAATTCCACTTTGGGTCTTCAGGAAGAAAGAGCCTGCCTAGGGCTGGGAACCTCCTCTAAAGAGCTTCTCCTGGCTCTGAGGAAAGCATTGCATTTACTGGATGGTTCTTATTCCTCAGGATGCAGCCTACAACAGCACCATGATTCACTCTTTCGTTTTGTATTAATTTAATTGATCTTTGAAGCTGTTGTCTTTTCACAAAAGTGGAGGGCATTAGACACTTTATTCTTCCTTTCCCACTTGGTGCTTTTTAACCATTTTGAAACCTTTTTGAAAACACTATTAATTTGGAAACCTTCACCATATGTTGTAGGGGAAAAGCCTCAATTGCTTAGCAAGTCTGTGTGATTGTGATGGAAGAATCATTTTGTTCAGCAAGACCGGTTTGGCCACATTTCAGGAATCTATTTAAGCGCCAAATCAAATACCTGTTGGCCCCAGAGTCCCCCTGCTGGCTGAACTACTGCATGATCCTTTTTTTAAAAAAAATATTTTTAGCTGTAGATGGAATATCTTTTTTTTTTTTTAATGTGGTGCTGAGAATTGAACCTAATGCCTCACACATGCTAGGCAAGCGCTATACCACTGAGCCACAACCCCAGCCCACTGCATGACTTTTTGAAAAGAGGGGCAACTTTACCAAAGATGACTGTTTTGGCATCTGAAAATTTAAAACAATTAAAGATAAAATGTATCTGGGCGCAGTGGTGTATGCCTGTTAGTCCCAGCGGCTCAGGAGGCTGAGGCCTGAAGAATGTGAGTTCAAAGCTAGCCTCAGCAAAAGCGAGGTACTAAGCAACTCAGTGAAATCTGTCTCTAAATAAAATACAAAATAGGGCTGGGGATGTGGCTCAGTGGTTGAGTGCCCCTGAGTTCAATCCCCAGTACCCCCTCAAAAAAAAAAAAAAAAAAAGAGTGAGACAAAATAACCCCTTAAATGCATCATGGTTATTTACTAAATACTGGAATCTTGTTTTTTTCCACTTACCAAGGCACTTCTTTTTAAAACATTTTTTAAAATTTGTTTTAATTGGTTATTTATGGCAGTAGATGCATTTATGCACTTTGATATATCATACATAAATGGGATATAATTTCTCATTTTTCTGAGTGTACATGTTGCAGAATCATATTGGTCATATAGTTACATATATACATACAGTAATAATGTATGTTTCATTCTACTATCTTTCCTATCCTGCATCCCCTCCGCTGTCCTCTAAGCCACTTCTATCAAAACAAATCATCTCAATTATCATTAAAAATTAGAAACCTAAGTACTGATTTACAATATAATGACATTATGTTCTGATTTTACTTATTTATTTCTTTGAGAATTAGTGTTGCCTAATATTGGAAGGCAGGGCCCCTTTAGGAGCTGCAAGTAGAATTCAGATAAAGAAGTAGTTTGAAGGAGGTAGTAAAGCTTTCACAAGAGTTTAAAAATAAGATCTTTATGCCTCTCACCAACTTTTTAAAAGTTTTTATTTTTTGTTTCTTTTAGTTATACATGAGAGTAGAAAGTATTTTGACATTCTCATCCAACTTTCTCTGTGCCCACTGAGTGCTTTAGTAACACTGAAGTATTTCAGATGTGCTCAGTTTCCAGGCTGGCCTCATGCTTGTGGTCCTCCTGTCTTAGCCTCCCAAGTCTCTGGGATTACAGGTGTGCAACATTGTTCCTAGATAAAATAGTTTTTTATGGAAATTATGCTGCTTTATTTAAGTCAGTTTCTAGGTACTTAAGGTAATTTCTTAGTAAGGAGTCAAAGGACTTTAAATGAGAGTGCTAACACTTGAAGGTCATTAACATATTAAGAGGAAAAATTGTCATGAAATTTCAAATGACAGAGGAAAATGTTTATTATATAAAGAGTGAAAAAAAATAAGGCACAAGTTTACACTTATGACTTTAACTGCACTTTAAAATGCATAGAGAAAAGACTGGAACAGTCACTGCCTTTGATGACAAAATTATGTATGTTTGCTTTTTATTCTTGATAACTTTAACAGCTTCCAAAACTTAACTTTTGTGATAATAAATAAAGGGATAAATAATAAATAAAGGATATCGGAAATTACATAACTAGTTCTCAACTTTGTCTGCTGAATCAGCTAGTCATTATTGCATAACAAACCATTCTAAAATTTAGTGTCTCAAAAAAACAATTGCATTTGTTAATTATTCTGTGGGTCAGTATTTTGGATTTTTTTCAGTTTGTTTGTTTTGTTTTGCTACTGGCAATTTAACCCAGGGGCACCTTACCACTGAGCCCCATCCCCAACCCTTTTGCTTTTTATTTTGAGACAGTCTCACTAAGTTGCTCAGGGTCTCGCTAAATTGCTGAAGCTAGCCTTGAACTTGTGATCCCCCTGTCTTAGCCTCTCAAGCTGCCAGGATTATAAGCATGTGCCACTGCACAGTATTTTGATGTGTATTCAGGAGGTGGTTCTTCTAATTATCTTGCCTGAGATCAGTTACATAGCTGTCTTTTTTTTTTTTTTTGCTCATCTTGAATTGGATGGTCTCATGACTTACATGTCATGTTTGGTGCTGGCTATAGGCTGGAGCCATGTCTCCTGCAGGGTATCTTTATGTTTTCACAAGGTTCCCCAGTTCTAAAATGCAGTAAGAGAAAGGACAAGTCCTGCAGATGTTTTTCTAGATTCTGCTTGTGTCATATTTACTTGGCCAAAGTAAATCACATGGCCACACCCAAAGTCAATGTGGTAGGAGATTTTACAAGGGTACGGATGCAGAGAGGTATGGTGGTGCCTCAGAACGCATTATTTTTTTCCACTTTTTTTATTGGTGCATGATAGTTGTACATAATGATGGGATTTGTTGATACATATTCATACATACATATATATAACAATATAATTTGACCAGTATCATGCCCCAGCACTTCCCTCTTCCTTCCCACCTCCCATCTTCTGATCCCTTTCCTCTACTAATGTCCCTTTGATTTTCATGAGTCCTCCACACTTTTTTTTTCCCTTTTCCCTCTCTAGCTTCCACATAGGAAAGAAAACATGTGACCCTTGATCTTCTGAGTTTGATTTATTTTGCTTAAAATAATGATCTCTATTTCCATCCATTTCCTGCAAATAACATAATTTTGTTTTCCTTTATGTGAATAAAACTCCATTGTGTGTATATACCTCATTTTCTTTATTCATTCATCTGTTGATGGACGGACACCTAGGCTGGTTCCATAGTTTGGCTATTGTGAATTGTGCTGCTGTAAACATGAGCATGTAGTTTGATGACTTTAATTTTTTAGGGTAAATACCAAGGAGAGGTATGGCTGGGTCATATGATGGTTTCATGCCTAATCTTTTGAGGAATATCCACACTGATTTCCATAGTGGTTGTACTAATTTACAGTCTTACCAACAATGTAAAAGTGTTCTTTTTCCTCTACATCCTCTCCAGCATTTATTATTATTTGTATTCTGATGACTGCCATTCTGACTTGTGTGAGATGAAATGTCAGTGTTATTTTGATTTGCGTTTTCCTAATTGCTAATGATGTTGAACATTTTAAATATATTTTTGCCATTTGTATTTCTTGTTTTGAGATGTGTCTGTTTAATTCATTTGCCCATTTATTAACTGGGTTACTTGATGTTTGGATGTAAAGTTTTTTGAGTTATTTATGTATTCTAGATATTAATCTTCTGTCAGAAAAGTAGCTAGCAAAGATTTTCTTCCATTCTGTAGTTTCTCTCTTCCATTCTGTTTTATAATTATATAATTGTTTGCTGTGCAGAAAGCTTTTTAATTTGGTGCCATTCTATTTGTTAACTCTTGGCATAATTTCCTAAGCTTTAGGAGGACCCATTATTTTACCAGTCTACCACAGGTGCAAATTAGAATTACCCAAGGAGCTTTGCAGAATCCTGATGCCCAGGTCACACCCAGACCAGTTAAATAACAGTCTCTTGGGGGTAGGACCCAGGCATCAATATTTTAAAATACTGATTATTCAAATATACAGGTGATTCCAATATGCAGCCAATATTGACCACAATGGACATAAATCAATGGAAAATATGTTTTTGTTTATAGATATTTGATCAACACAATGTTTTGTAAATATATTTTTATTGAAGTATGAAATTCTAGGATGAAAAGAAAGGAATAGGGCATCATTGCAGGTGGATATGTGTGTGTGTGTGTGTGAATTTTGCATCCAAGAATGGTTAGAGAAAAGAACATTTGGACAGGAGGGACCCGGAACTTGGGAACATCTCAGGAAGGGGAAGTGTGTTGCCAGATGTTGATGACCTATATTGATGATCCAGTCCAGAGTCTGTATACTCTCTGACATTTGTCTTGCTTCTTTAAAAGTCTCCTTTGTGGTTAGCAATGTCCCATCTTGGTATGATATCATTTAGTAGTGTGTTGGCAATGAACTTGCAGGGTTCTGCCTTCTCCCTCACTGACCTCATATAGGGGTCACAATCGATTAAGCCCAGTAGAGATTAAAAACTACCTTGAACTGAAGATACGGAATTGGACTCAGGTCCTCTGAGGATAATTGTTTTCTTCAGTAGAACTATGAGGGACTCCCCAGTTTTGCAACAATGGTTGAGAAAATAGATTTTCAGTGTATTGCAGCTCATCTCGTAGACCCCCATTTGTAGCCCCTTGGCACACATAATATGCCCTAAAATGTTACTTCTCTACCTGGAGGTCATAATTCAAGCTCATTGTGTAGAGGCACATTCCAAGAGATAATACAGTGTGTTCTGCTTATGTGAAGGAGTAGATCCAGATGTTATCTACATAGGCAGCCACAAAGGCAAGAAGAAAACTACTTTGAGAGATGTTGTTTAACGATGTGTAAAGAGGACAAAGCTTAGAGACCCTCAGATTTGGATTTTAATCCTAGTTCTATCACTTACTCTGTGTGCCCTTGATTAAATTATGTGGACTTCTGACTCATTTTTCTCATTTGTTAAATGAAGTTGTGAGGATTAGAATTAACACATTTAATACAACACTTGGGTTCACACTTGCAGTAGCAGTTGCTGTTGTTTGTTACTTTGATTCTTAGCAAAGAGCTAAAAGATTGCTATTTGCTATTGTGTGAACCAACTCAAAAGACATACCTCGTATTTGAAATGTTTATGCCTGGGTAAACAAATGGTTTTTACTCAACCCTTTTAAGTTCCTACATGAGAGGTTTTCAATTGGGCATAATTTTCCCCCCACAGGACATTTGATAATGTCTGGAAACATTTTGGTTATCATATATAGGGTGATAATGTGTTTATAGTGGCAGAGGCCAGGGATGCTGCTAATCATTGTACAAGGCACAGGACAAAACCCTTGAAGAAGAATTATCTAACCCCAAATTTCAGTAGTTTTCAGTGGGTTGAGAAAATATGACCTAGATCAAGTTGTGGAATATCCATAGATGCAGCTTCATAACTCCCTTGCAGCCATTCAAGTAACTTGGTATTTTATTGTGAGACTAGAGCTACACAAAAATAATTTTCTGTTTGGATGTACTTCATGTTAATACTTCCAAAGATACATAGTTAAGGTCTCCAGAATCTAGCCCTTAACAAAACTTTATATATTTTTCAAATGGGATTTGGGCTCTGAGTAGGATTTACAATTCCAACCCCAGACCTAGGCCTTTTTCAGGATCATAATCAGGATGAAGTCCTTCTACTTAGCAGGCAAGTTAAGCTGGACTTTGGACCGTTTTTAGCTGGGATAGAGTCCATGGGTGAATGCATTATCTGGGTCCCCAAGGAAAGGGCCAGCTGTGGTAGGGGAGACAACCTGGGCCTTACACCAGTAGAATAAGTGCAAGATATCAGGCTTCCACTCTACGGGGTTGGAAGTGCCCATTAAGGGAGCTCTGTGATTGTTCAGAATCTGAATGATCCCTGATTGAAGATGTTTGTGATATCAGGGAAGTGTGCTAATAAGGAGGACAATTAGATTTTAAATGCCATACCTAGAGCCATGCATATGACTTGGATCCTGAGGTGAATGAGTTAAGCATGTAGTTAATATAAATGATCATTTATATGTGCATTCACACATTTATGCATCTATAAATTTGGTTTTGATATTTTTAAGTGCTTTCCCAGTGTTTAGCTACCTGTGATTCACTCTAGCCAGTGAACTTGCAAGTATCCTTTGATTATAGAAAGCCAGGCATATTATTTCTTTACTATAGCCTCTCAGGTAGATAGTGGTTGTTTAGATGAATTATATATATATTTTAAAAATATTTATTCTTTAGCTGCAGTTGGACACAATACCTTTATATTTTATGTGGTGCTGAGGATCAAACCCAGGGCCCCATATGTGCTAGGCAAACGTTCCACTGCTGAGCCACAACCCCAGCCCTGAATTGTATATTTTTGAGAATTTTTTCTCCATCTTCCAAAATGTAGCTTATAACTTCTGTATTATTTAATGTTAAGCACTTCTCAATATCAAGCCTTTGGGGATGCTTATTTACTTAAAGGTTAAATTTTTTTACGAAATAGAAAAAATGTATGTGTAAGGAGTCTGAGAAATTGTAGAAGAAATGCTAGTGAAACTGACATAAAATATGTCACAGACCAATATGAAAATCAACAGAAGTGAAGCAGACAAAGGACAGACACTGAAGGAAGAAGATAGTTGAAATGTGAAAGTATTAAATGTCTGGGCAGATCAAACAAAATGACAGGCTGTGAGTCACCAGGGAGACATAGTTATATAGAGAGAGTAACATAGGAAACTGCTCCTGTTATAAGTTTTCAGTACACATCACATAAATACACCAAGAACTGGTTTCTGGAAATATAAACAAGAAGGGAAGCCAGGCACAATGAAGGCAGTCTGACCAACTGAGACTCCCATACTGTGAGGAAGTTCAAGCTATCCATATGGAGGAAGAACAGGGATAGAAGAGAGAGGGAGAGGGAGAAGGGGAAAAGAGAAAGAAGTTATTTGAGGGAAGAACACATTTTGGAAATGCAGCCCAAATGAGCCTTCAGTTGACTCTACTTCTCCTGACACCTGATGTCAATCACATGAAAGAGAGCAAATGAGATCTGCCCAGCAGAGACCAGTTAATCCACAGATTTGTGTTTTAAGGCACTACATTTGTGGGGTACTGTGTTAGCTTTCCATCATTATGACAAAAATTTGAGAAAAATCAGCTTAAAGAAAGATTTATTTTGACTTATAGTTTTAAGGTTTCAGGCCATGGTCACTTGGCCCCACTGCTTTGGGCCTGTGGGAGGCAGAACATCCCAGCAGGAAGTGAGAGATGAAACAAAACCTCTTACCTCCCTGTGGCCAGGAAACAGAGAGGAGGGGCCAGGGTCCCATATCACCTTCAAGAGCATGCCTCAAATGACCTAATTTCCTTCCAGTAGTCCCCAACACCTGAAGGTACTACTGTCCTCCACAAGTACCATCAACTGGGACCAAGCCTTCAACATGTGAGCTTTTTGGGGATATTGAAGATTCTGACCACAGCAGGTGATTTGTTACACAGTTAAAGACTCCCAAACAGAATGAGATAAGGAAAGACTTGAAAATTAAGTTTTGATTTCTTCAATTTAAAATGAAATACATTTCATACAGAGACTAAGGAACTTTAAATGGAGTCATTTTAATTGCTAGCTACCTTTTCTTTGAATCTTTGCATAACACACTCTTTTTTTATTTTCAGAGACTGCAGACAGAGTGGAATTGTAACTAAGGTATTTCAGGTAGATTATGAACCACCAAATACAGTTTCTTCTGAAGACAATGTTGAAAATATTCTCAAAGTTTCTTCAAAGGCAAGTAATGATATTATACATTCAGATTATTACTATATTCTTCGTCTGTCCTTCTCGGTGGGCACACCTTCCCTTTCATTATATCACCTCTGCTTATAGTCAGGTCCTAATTTAAGTAAAGTCAGTATCAGCCATTGCGAAGTGTCTTCACTGATTCCTCAATCTTTGGTCAATTTCTCCTCCACTTTAGAGATTAGAATTCCTACCCAGCAACACTGCCCATGCTCCACTGTCTTCAGTGGCTCTTCCTTACCTACTGAAGAAAGCAGAAAATTTTAGCCTGCCATGCAAGTAATCAGTGTTCATTCTTGGCCTGGCTTTCTTGCCTTGACTGTAATTTTCCCCCTGTGTAAACTCCAGTTAAATTAAACTTATACATGGTGTTTTATCACTGCACCAAGTTTTCTCCTTTTAAAAACATTTTGATCATGTGATTATTTGGTTCTTTGTCAGTCTTTGCCATGTGCTGTAAGCTCCAAGGTGGCATAGAGTGTGGCTGCCATACTCAAAGCCTTGCTCAACAGAAGGCAGGAGAGGGTGATGAGTATATATGTGGTAAATAGGTTCATCAGGCCAGGAGAAGCTCCCAGTGGGCATAGACTTCTGTTCTGTTGAAATTTTCATTCCCAAAGACTCATCTCTTTGGAGAAAATTCAAGCTATGTGAAGACATTTGAAATTTCAGTCCCTGCATTGTTGGCATAGATAATAATAGATCCAAGTAACAGGGCCAGAGGACAGACTAGTTCATGGTAAGGCAACTAATCAAGAAGTCTCAGTCGGAGTTAACACAGAAAGTTTTTGGTGGTATCCCTTAAGTGAACCTGAAGCCAACGAAGAGGCTGTAGCACCAAAGGGTGGGTGCAGGCATGGGGTGGGGCTCTTAGTGTGCTCAGGGCAAAGGCAGCCACAGCAGAGACTAAGCTCACATGTATCAGCAGCTGCTCAGTTTGTATCGGGTATAAAGAAAAAAAAAATCTATGGAGAGAAAGTCAGAAATAAGTATTTAAGGCCCTGTGGACAGGCTGTGCACATAAGTCCTATCTTGGTCTGATCCCACCCTAGCTCTGCCCCGCGGATCTGCTGGTCCTCTTGTTATTACTCTCCCATGAATGTAACATCCTATCTTGATGTGCTGCTCCCTGCTTCCTGGTTTGGCCACTTGACTTGAGACCTAGACATGCTACTAGCCAAAAGCCTAGATTCAAAGCTCTGTGTTTCCCCACAGTAAAGTGAAACAGAGATCACTTTGTAAAAACTACTGTAAACCATTTCAAGGAAGAAATGTATGCCATGACACTGTCTCTATCATGTAGCTTTTAATTTTCACATTCTCAATGGGTATCAAGTGATATGTAATCTCTTCATTCCTAGGAATTAAAAAATGGATTTGTTGGACCAAAATTAAAGAAGAAATATAAGAACACTGAAAATAAACCTAGTTGGAATGTTAACCTTAGAAAGTTTCCAGGTATGATGTGATAGCATGAAGATAAGGTTCACTATTTATTCTAAACCCACCAAACTGGTTCACTGCATGTTCACTGCATATTCTCTTGCAGAAGTGTTGGAATAAGAAACACTAGAATAGGAAAGTAGGCTGTAATTTGAATTCTAGTGCTGTCCTAGCTAACTAGCCTAAAGCCATGAAGGATAACCAAGCAGTCCAACAGTGTTATATTTATTGATTCATTGCATTGAGGGGACCACACACCATGGAATCATGGTGTGTCTCATCAAGCAAGGGAAAAGATAAAAGTTGAAGGGTTTGGGGAAAGAGAGAAGTTTGGTTGAAATTGAAATGAAAGAAGAGGTCTGGGGATATGGCTCAGAGGTAGAGCACTTGCCTAGCATATTCAAGGCCCTAGATTGTATTGCCAGTGCCTCAAAAATTAATATATAAATAGTTTTACAAAATAATTGAAAGCAGAGTTTTAATAGGCTCAAAGCAGAGCTAACTATGTGGGAACTGAAGCATCACGTGTGCACTGAAGTTCTGTCACTTTGTAAACTATAGATACACATGGAACATTATGTTCAGAGACCCTACTATGCAGCTCAGCACAAGGATTAGAAACTGAGACTTCTTCTCTCAGTGACTTAAATTCTCCTGGCAAGAGTCGATATTTTGATATTTGTTCTTACTGATACAATTTGAAAAAGAAGAATTTCTGATAATCTATGATTTTTGAGGAAAATTTTTCCTCAACAAGTGAGCAGTAGATTACTTCAAGAGGAAGCTGTTATGACATTTCTCAGCTGCAATATATGTCCTTGGGAGAACTAATGTAACCACCTAGCCTTGCAATTGGATTGATCTGTCTGTTTTCCTAAGATGATGTGGGATGTTATAGAATATAACAAGGAAGATAATTTTCTCAGTCTGGGCTTATTTTTCCTTTCTCAGTTCTTATTTACTGAGTTGGGGAGGGTGTCTCTTTATATTATTGTTACTTCTAGGGAGAGAATGTGATGACAGTGGTCCCTTATTTAAAAGCTTTCTAACTACACAGACATTTGCATGATTTAACAAAATTACAGATGCTCACGGAACAATGTTTTTAATATAATTGCAGACCTTGAGTTAGATGAAAGAACTGACCCTAAAACTCTGAAAGATCTTCGCTTCTCAGAAAGCCCATTAGAAATCCCAGCTTACCATGAAGGATCAAGTTCTAGACCACCCACTCAACAGTCCCAGGTAACTTTTAAGGAAAATCCATAGGGTGTGAAGATACTTCCCATATTTTTAATGCTTCCCATGAACTATTTTAAGGCAGTGTTGGCATACTGTGTTGCACAAGAAAAGTCTCTATATATTCATTCATAGGGCTGTCATTGTATTGGGGTTGTGAGCAAACAGATAATAATCAAGTAATTAATCACACAAAAAAAATGTTAAACATTTTTTAATAATGTAAGAGTAAGAGTCACAAACAAGACAAGCAGGATAATGAGGTAAATCAATGGTTCTCAACTTAAGTGTGGTCACCAGACCAGCAGCATCAATATCACATGAGAGCTTATTTGAAATGCTTATTCTCAGGCCCTGCTGAATCAGAGACTCTGGGTCTGACCACAGTGATCTGCATTTTATTTAACCCTCAAGTTAGAGAGGCCTTGAGATTGAGAATGTCTGTGAAGGAAGAACAAGTGTTGTTTAAGTTGGGAGAGGGGCTTCCTTGAAGAGGTGACATTTGAATTGGACTTTGGAGATGAACTTTCAGAAGCCGGCAACGTAAAGATCTTGGGGGAAAGCATTCAACAACAGTCAAAATGGGGACAGCAAAGTGAGGGATCTCAAGGAAGCTGGTGTGGATGAAGCTTGATGAGCAAGGTAGGAGATGACAGGGGAGGTGAGCTGGGAACAGAGTGCCTAGACCTGTGTTTCTCAGATATGGCTGCACATCAGATTCACTTAAGGTGTTTCAGACCAATCCTGGGACCTAATCTTGAAAATTTGGGTTGGTTTGTTGTTTGGCATGGTTTGTTTTTAAAAATGCATTGTCAAGTGATTCTATGTGCAAACATGGTTGAAAATCACAAATGCTAGTCCCATTGTGAAGAATTGGGATTTTATTCTAATTGTAAGGGGAATATATATGGAGCATAAGACATAATTCCATTTATATTTTAAAGTTCCTCTTGTGCCAGAGATTAGACTATAGAAGACAATGAGGGGAACATCATTTCCAAGGTGTTTGCTCCAGGCAAGAGATGATGGTATCTTGGACAAAGGTTGTAGACATAATGAGGACAGGAGTTCATAGGCATCTAAACAGGTTTGACTGAGGGATTAGATAAATGGGATGAGAGAAAGGGAGGAACCAAGAATGACTTACAAGATTTTGGCCTGAGCATCTAGAGATGATGGTAGCATTAACTGAGATGGGCAAGATGAAAGAAGAGCAAGTGTTCAAGGGCTCATTGGATATTCAAGTGAGAGTGTTGAACAGATTATTGTATATGTAAGTTCAACCTCAGCCAAGAGGTCAGGAATGAAGATATACATTTGGAAATTTCATATATAGATGGTATTTAGAGCTAAATCTGAATGAGATCTCTTGCTAAGGGTGTATAGAAGATGAAGAGAAGGTAGCACAAGACAAAATCCTCAACTTAGATGCTATGCAGGGAAGGAGGAGTTTGAGAAGTTGAAAGAAAGCCAGAAGAATGTGGTGCCATGGAAGCCAAGTGAAGGAAGAGTTTCAAGGAGAAAGCAGGGGTCATCTATGTCATACGTTGCTGAGACTTCAGCCTACCCAAGCACAGAGAATTGCTCATTGAACTTGGCAAGATGGAAGTAGTTTAAGATCCTAATAAAAGCCATATTAATACATTGTCACTACTATAACACAAGAAAGAATCACGTATACTAATTGCCTACTATTATTATAGTGCTTTGATTTTTCAGTGTTTATAAAATCTATTTTAGACTTTTTTGGCATCTAAGGTCAAGCCAGAAACTCTTATTGTCTTTCTCCTATTTGAGCCCCAAGTAGAATATACCAGGAGTTACATTTCTATCTAAACACAACTGTTTCTGGTATACCTATGATTCCAATGCTGCTCATATTTACCATTAAATACAAAAGAGGCAAAAAAAAAAACTAGTTCCCAAATCTGATTGCACATCAGATTTACCTGGAGGAAATGTAACTATATGTGTAAATTCCCCCCTACACTTCCTGAAAACCTCCTGAAGAGTTTTAGTCCATAAACCTGGGATGAAGACCACGTTTGACTTTGATGATTAGTCCAGTCAGAATCCCTAGCCAAGAAAGCCAATTATCTTAGTCCTGAGGTCAAGTAGTTACCTTCATTTCCAGTCTCCAATGCTGAGGTGTAACACCACCTGATCTCCTGGGTTCTTCCAGATGCCCAATCACCGTATTTTTTTGGTGAACCCTAAAGTCCAGGTTAGGGACCACAGATCTGGTAGTCTGCTTGCAATCTCCACTAAATAAAAAGGCAACCACCTCTACAATGGAAAATTGCCCTTTTCAATCTTCTGGAAAGAATGATTACCTGGACCCGTGAGCATACTCAACTCCACTGCACAGCAGTGTGGCACAAATAATAATGCTTTTGAGATTAAAAAGTATCATTTTGAAGAATGAATGGTATAAGTCAAGCACAATAACTATTTTTAACAAAACAGTCTCACATGGGCCATAATTATTTGAATGTGTCTGGAAATAGTTATTTTCTCTGTGCATGAATAATTGGATTACCTTGCCCACTTAGTTGTTTTAAGAGTTGTTTTCAAGGGAAAGATAGAGTGAGATGATACATAAAGATTCCAAGATCCAGAATCTTTTTTTAAATATTTATTTTTTAGTTATAGGTGGACACAATATTTTTATTTTATTTTTTATATGGTGCTGAGGATTGAACCCAGTGCCTCACGCATGCAAGGCAAGCGCTTTTCCTCTGAGCCACAATCCTAGCCCTAAGATCCAGAATCTTAAAGAACTAGGAATATAGAGACAAAGTTTGGGGAATTTGACTAACATTCAGAAAGCCAGGGAGGCCCGAAAAGAACCACGACAAATTTTTCTTCTACTATTGTTCTTCATATTGTTAAGAGAGACTTCTCATTTGGTTCAGTGGCACATGTCTATAATCCCAGTAGCTAGGGAGGCCGAGGCAGGAGGATTGCAAGTTCAAAGTCAGCCTCAGCAACTAAGTGAGGCCCTAAACAACTTAATGAGACTCTGTCTTTAAATAAAATACAAAATTGGGCTGGGCATGTGAATCAGTGGTTAAGCACCCCTGGGTTTAATCCCCAGTACCAAATATATATGGAGAGAGAGAAAGATATTCTTCTAAACATTTCAGCTGAATCCCATTTGCAGCTGCTTCATCAAATATTGGAATTAATGATACTGTTGAGTGTTAAAATGTGTCAGCAACCTTTAAGGAGGCAATGCTTGACCTCTGAGTTTAGTATCTTGCCTAGGGGTGCTTTCAGAGTCAGGCAGCAGGGTAGAAGGTAAATGGCAGCTGATACTGGCTTTAATGTGAAGGCACAAGGGATGTGAGTTCTGTGATGATGTGTAATGCCCCAGTGAGCTAAAGGGGTCACTCTACTCAATGCCATACAACTACTGACAAGAGAGACTATAGATTTAGTGTTGCCATGTCTAATGTATTTGCACAAGAAGCCAGAAACTTACATCATTATGTTTAATAACCTTATTTAGAATTTTGACAATTATTAAATTTTGAAACACTATGGGAGCCAATATAAATGGTCCACGGGCCAAAGGAAACTCAGTAGCACACCATATTTGGCCAATTGAATCACCACTTTGTGGCTTCTGGTATAGGCCTGTTAGATGTAACTTGAAAGCAATAAAAAGAAAAAAAAAATCCTGTGGCTGTCATCTCTCCCCACTATCCCTGTGGCCAGCAGAATGAAATCTGAAATCCTAAGCCTGGCATTGTGGTGGACCAAAAATTTACAGGGGACAGGTAGGCCTAGAGTTCACTACATATATTGTCAACATGAACTCAAGCAAGTGACCCAATCTTTCTTGCCTCATCCTCATCTCATAAATGGAAATTATATATTTCTCTTGGTATGATATACTCAGATGCGCACAGTATCCTTTCTCTGAAACTCGTGTCAAAATGCATGACTGAATCCAATCATAAAGAAACATGATAAAACCAATTCAAAGGATATCCTTTGAATTAACTGGTCTGTTACTCTTTTAAAATGTCAAGATCATGAAAAATAAAGAGAGAACTACTCTAGGTCAGAGGAGACAATAGGGACATGATGCCCAAATGTGGTACTAGGAAAAAATAAAAAACTGTAAAAGACATCATCGGCACGACCGATGAAGTCTAAATCAAGATCTGTGGATAAGATAGTAGTAGTGTACCATCTAATGATAACTTTCTGACTTCGATACCCTGTTGTGTAAGAGGACAGCCTTGTACTTAAAGAACTAGGAATATAGAGACAAAGTGCTCACTCAGTTATTTATGGGCAAAGGAACATCACAACTGCAGCTTATTCTCACATAATTCAGAGGTAGAGAAAGAAGGAAAATGGAGAAAAATACTAATGTAAACAATTGGTCAGGCTGGCTGGACTGGAGTACTATCCATGTGACTTTTTTGTAAGTTTGAAATGATCCCAAAATAAGATGTTAAAATAAAATGGGGGTAATGTAACCTCCCTCAGAGGGTATTGTGAATGTCAAGGAGATAAGGGCTGTAACATGGTAGCCACATTTTACTATTGTCAAACCCTCACTGTGGGTTAGCTTTTTCCTTTTGTGTGCCTTCTCCAGCCACAGATAAGGGCATGCCCTGCCCTGCCATGGTGCCTTTGCCAGTGTGTTTCCTCTCCTGGGAATTCCCTTTGTCTTTGTGTTCACTTGACAAACTTTTCTTTACTCTCTCAGGCCCATTTGGTTGTTACCATCTCTGAGAAGCCCTTCCGGCCTGGAGCAAGTGAATGTGATTATTCCCTCATCTAAGTTCCTGGGGTTCAACCCAAATGTTTCTGTGGTGACCCTATTTTGTATATGTACACATTTGGCTCCTTGAGGGCAGGGACCATGTATCTGTGTTAGATACTGGAGTGCCTGGCACAAAGTGGATGCTCAAAATAAAAACTTAATCAAATGAGTTAAATATTTCTGGATATTGCTGCACCTATTCTATATAGATGAGTCCTTCTGAGTTTCCTAGAAATACAATCCTTGAGAAAAATGAATACAAGACCCAGCTATACCACACCTTGGTATTTGTCCTAAAGGATTAAGGTCATCATACTACAGCAATATATGCAGCATATCCATGTTTATAGCAGCACAAGCCACAGTAGCTAAACTATGGGACCAGGTAGGTATCCATCAACGAAAGAATGGATAAAGAAAATGTGGTATATATACACAATGGAGTTTTATTCAGCCATAAAGAAAAATGAAATTATGTCATTTGCAGGAAAATGGATGGAAATAAAGACCATATGTTCAACAAAATAAGTCAAACTCAGAAGGTCAAGGGACATATGTTTTCTTTCATATGCAGAAGTTAGGAAAAATGAAAAGAAAGGGGAGGCAGATTTAATGAAAACCAAAGGGAGATCAGTAGAGGACAGGGACCAGGAGGTGGAAGGTGAGAAGGGAGGGGGGGAGTGCTGGGGAGTGATATTGGCCTAATTATATTGTTATATCCTGTGCATGTACTAATAAATAATAACAAATCCCATCATTATATACAACTATTATGCACCAATAAAAAATGCAGGAAAAAATGAATACAGTTTTTCAGTTCTAAAATCAGGTCTGTTTATAGTAAGTTCAGGTATCTTTTATTGTAAACTTTCATTTTTAATGAAATATATATCTAATTATGAATAGCATTTTGAATAATTTTTAAATGTTAGATACTGGAATGATAATTACTTAGGACCTTTCACATCATGGTTTAAAAAGATGAAAGCTTCAGCATTCATTATGCAACAAATGTTAAAATAAAATTTTCCATTAATTTTTCTATTCCATAGCCTTTACCAGGTTATATTGACTATATACCTCTATGTATCTATATTCTTAATTTTAGTCTCCTGGTTTTGCACACATAACTGGCCAGAAAAGTTTGACAAGAACAGAGATCATGAGGATTCAAAGAGAGACAGACTTCCTCAAGTATGTATCGCATTCTCTACTGTCTTTAAGCCCACCATAATACATTGTGTCAATGTGTTTTCCTACCCATCTCTTTCTTCTTTCCTTCCTTCCTTCCTTTCTTTCTTATAGTACTGGGGGATTGAACCCAGGGGCGCTTTCCCCTAAGCTACATCTATACCTAGCCCTTTTTAAAATTTTTAAATTTTGATAAAGAGTTTCACTAAGCTGCAGAGGCTGGCCTTGAACTTTTAATACTCCTGCCTTAGCCTCCCAAGTCATTGGAATTACAGGTGTATGCCTCCACACCTGGCTTGGCCATAGCTTTTTAAATGAATTTGAATAGCTTTTAAAAGGTTTGATTGGCATAAGACAAACTGCATATATTTAAAGAGTTCAATTGATATGTATATGCATATATATATGCATATATATATGTATATGTAAATGTATCCTGTATATATACAATATATATCTTCCTATATACAGGATATATGAACATTTTATATAGGATATATGAAATCATATGTGTGTGTGTATATGTGTGTGTGTATGTGTATATATATATATATATATATATATATATATATATATATTCTGTATATATGAAACTATCACAGTAATCAAGAAAATGAGCAAATTCATCACCTCCAAAAGTTTCTGACATTGTACCTTTTCATCCTTCCTCATTCCCAGGTAAGTATTGATCTGCTTCTTGTCACCATATCTTAGTTTGCATTTGATTCCATATACATGTGGAGTAATTTAGTATGTACTCTTTTTTTCTTTTTCTTTTTTTTTTGGGTGGGGGGCGGTGTTCAGGCTTCTTTGACCAGCATAACTATTTTGAGATTCATTTATGTTTTTTCTTGTGTCAAACATCTGTGCTTTTCATTGCTGAGTTGTTATGTTTATCATTGAGTTTCCATGCTATGAATAAGCCAGTTTGTTTATCCATTTACTTATTGAGAGTATGTGTATAATTTCTAGATTGATATGAACATTTTACACATAAAGTTGATATGAACATTTTATACAAATCATTGCATACATATATATTTTCATTTCCCTTCAGGTAAATATCTTGAAGGGGAATGACTGGGTTACATGATAGGTATATATTTTACTTTTTAAGAAACTATTCAATTGTTCTGTGAACTAGTTGTATATTTTTATATTCTCACCAGCAGTGTTTGAGAATTCCAATTTCACCACATTCTTCCCCCACCCCGCTTTTGGTACTGGGGATTGAACCCAGGTGCGCTTAACCACTGAGCCACATCTCTAGCCCTTTTTATTTTTTATTTTGAGACAGGGCTTCACTAAATTGCTCAAGACCTCACTAAGCTGCTAAGGCTGACTTTACATTTATGTTCCTCCTGCCTCAGCCTCCTAAATTGCTGGGATTACAGGCATGTGCCACCGCAACCAGCCAGTTTCACCACATTCTTTCCAACACTTTTATTTCTATTTTGATCATTCTATTGAGATTGTAATAGTATCTCATTGTGATTTTAATTTTTATTTTGCTGGTTACTATTGGTATTGTGTTTATTTGCCATCCATAAATCTTCTTTGGTAAATTGTCTGATCCAACTTTTGTAAAAAAAATGGGTTATATATCTTTTTATTGTAGAATTGTACATGTTTCCCTTTTTCAGATATATAGTTTGCAAATATTTTCTCCCAGTCTTTGGCTTTTCATTTCAATGAAGTTCACATTATCTGTTTTTGTTTTATACTTCATTCTTAGTTTATTATATTTAAGAGATCTTTTCTAAACCACGCACTAAGATTTTCTCCTAATTCTTTTCTAGAAGTTTATAGTGTTAGATCTTATACTTAGTACTTTAATGTATTTTAATTAATTTGCGTATGATTGAGGTTCATAGTTTTGTATATGGATATTTAATTATTGCAGCTTATTTTCTTGAAAAAAATTATCTTTCTTCAGTGATTAGTTTTGGAATATTTGAAAATCAATTTTTGATAATTGTGTGAATCCAGTTTTGAACTCTGTTCTGTTCCATTGATGTTTCTCTCTTTATATTTTGGTCTGAGGATTGAACCCAGGGTCGCTCTACCGCTGGACTACATCCCCCACTCTTTTTAAGTTTTGTTAAGACAGCGTCTTGCTAAGTTGCCCAGGCTGGCCTTAAACTACAGGTTTCCACTCTGTGGCCACTTTTTTTAATAAAATGACCTGGAGGAGAATTTTCTTCCTAGGACTTGTCCCATAGTTGCTAAGAGTGGTCTGCTTGTGTTTTGTTTAATTTTTAAAACTGTTTGAATACATTTAGATTTTCACCAATCTTCCTAAAGTGGACCAATCTTCACATGGCCAGTCAGGAACCTGTTTTGTTACAGGTGTGCCCACTGTCTGGCTCCCCGCCCATCTGATCCCTTTGCTCGCTTCTGTCAAGAGTGTGGTGCTCCTGTCCCTCCCATATTTGGCTATCGTCTTCCACCCCCAGAAGGAGCGCAGGTGAGCAGCAAAATTCTTAAAAACATCTTTTATTGGTTTATGTGATCTTTATTTGCAGCAGTAAGACCATGCCTGTATACATGAATCACAAATATTAAAACTTTTTGAAAGAATGTCTGGCAGATTAATCTATCTAGATTCCAACTTAAGAATGGAAAAACTATTCATTTGCAGTGATATTTCTTTTCAATGCCTTGCAAAAGTACAGGCACAGAGGAGATTGAAATCTTATTGTTTTAATGAGGCATACATGGATAAATAAATGTTTCCTATCTATTTGCTATTTCTGCTTATAACCTGGGTACAACAAGGGAATATATTCTTTAAACAAATGGAAAAAAAGTACTAATTACTTTATAGCTCTCTATCTATAGATCCATAAGATGCATTGTTCTGTCCAAAGATTGACTTAGATTGATCAGTATATTTGAATTTTAAGACTTTGGCTGATTAAGTGTAGGTAATAATTACTATTATCCTACGACTAGTTTTGTAGTTAGAAGAGATGCTTCACCTGCTAACAATCAAAACCTTCACCTCTTAATATTGTTTTCTTTAAACTGGGGCTTAGAAAATGATTAGAAAGATTTGTGATGTTGAGTGAGAAATGACTATGTTTAGAAAATATATAAAATGACTTTAAAGATAGTCATTTAAAAGGTACTGATTTCAATGAACTCAGAATCCAGAGTTTTATAATTGAGTTATGACCTCAAGTAAGGAGTCAGGTACTAAATGGATATCATTTTGGGGGGAGGTGGGGGTACAAGGGATTGAACTCAGGGGCACTTGACCAGCCCTGTTTTGTATTTTATTTAGAATGAGAGTCTCACTGAGTTGTTTAGTCCCTCACTTTTGCTGAGGCTGGCTTTGAACTTGTGATCCTCCTGCCTCAGCCTCCCAAGTGGCTGGGATTACAGGTGTGCACCACCATGCCCAGCTACTAAATGGGTATCTTTTTAAAACCTTCCTCCAATTTATTGTTCAAGATTGTTGTAAAAGTTAATTTAATATATTTTGAACTCCTTGAGAATTCCTTGAATAAGATAATACAGAAAATAAAACATGAACAGATCCCATTAGTTTGAATTATCTGTTTTTATCAGTTAGTACAATGTCAAGGTTATTTCCTTTTGCCAAGAGAAAGATTTTCAGAACGTTCTTTGTCTTTGCAGGGAGAAAATGTTATTAGATGTTAAAAATATTTTTAATGAATCATAAAACATCCATGTTGCTCCCCAAATTATATTTATATTGGAGCAATAACAGTCTATCTTATATAAATAGCTTTGTAATTTAAACTAACAATAATTTATTGAGTACTTACTGTGTCCTGCTCTCCACTGGTCTTCTTGGACTCAAAGGTGTAGGCCTGTACAGCCCTCTGTTAGGCATTTCTCCTTTGCCAGCTGGCTGGATGTTAGTTTTTGTCAAAAAAGGAATTCTGCAAGAGAATGGGCTTCTCTTCCTGCTTCTGGTATGCTTTCCTTTCTCTTTGCTTCTGTGGTGCTCAACTAAGTGGCAGGACACCCAGCTGTGCTGAATTCTATGAATTTTTTTTTTTTTAATTTTTAGTTGTAGTTGGATACAATACCTTTATTTTATTTGTTTATTTTTATATGGTGCTGAGAATCAAACCCAGCACCTTGCACATGCTAGGTGAGCGCTCTACTGCTGAGCCACAACCTAGTCCCAAATTCTGTGAATTTTGATGGTATCACATGGATAACTTCTCAGTGAGTTCCACCAGTACCCCAACCAGCTTCCCAAATAGTCTCTCAGGCACCCCAGTGGACAGCTCCCCAGTAAGTTTGAGCAGCATCCCAGTATGTTTTCTTTCATTAGAAAGAACCCAGTGGGTAGCTTTTTCTTGCCCACCCTGATTAGTATCACTTCAGCAAACTGATCAGACATCTGCTGGAACAGACATACCCCATTCAGTGAAATCCAATTTCACCCTTAAAGGTGGGGTGAAGTGAGTGCCTCTTCTTTGTTTGATCCTCCTCAGATTCTCTGCCTTAGCCATACAGGTAGTGGCTCCTCCCTATGTTTGGTATTCCTATATCACATGGAGTCTGCTCTGCCCATTAATAGTTAATCCCCTGTTGCTGGTTAATAAATTATTTATATTAATTTTCCCCTGTACAAATAACTGGGTAGATTCTGTCTTCTGACTGTATTATGATTGTTACAGAATTGGTGATGGGTCCCAGGAAATAAACCTGTGAAGAAGGAATATTGAAAATGGTTTGTTCTTGTCCTTTGCTTGAGAGCAGGGCTGAGCTCTTTGTCAATGAAAAATAGGATTCTGGTAATCTCTTGCATGAATTGGCATCAAAGTTAATCAGGCTATCACCAGTGGCTGATTATAATGAAGTTCCAATTGAAGCAAGTATTCTGAGTGGCCAAGTAGCTGCAGTACTTTGTTTTGGAGGGGGAGGTTACTGGGGATTGAACCCAGAGGCTCTTTACCACTGAGCTACATCCCCAGTCCATTTATATTTTATTTGAGACAGGATCTCACTAAGTTGCTTAGGGACACACCAAGTTGCTGAAGCTGGCCTCAAACTTGAAATCCTCTTGCATTAGCCTCCTAAGTAGCTGAGATTACAGGCATACACCATTGTGCCTGCCAGTAGCTATTGTACTTGACTGCCTTGGCAGTAACAATGGCTACAAGGATTGTGGCACAGGATGTGTTCTCCTGAGTCCAGGAACATTCACAGAAAGAAAATGACAAACTCAGGACCTTTAATTCAGAGTCTGAGAAATAGAGAGCTCCCATAACACCCTATTCTTTTCTCCATGAAAAAAAAATCTATTTCTTGTAGCCCAAAGCTTATATTTAAACAATCAAACATTTAACTGTGTATTTTGGCTTCACCTTATCACTAATTTCCTGTGTGAAAGTTAGGGCATTAATTAGAAAAAAATGGAATCCTGAAATGTGGCTATTAGGTTAGACCCAGAAGAAACTGCCAAACTTAAACTCTTGTAACATTGGATCTGCTTGTCTGTAGCTGGAACCTGCCCACTGGTCTGAGGGTACTAGCCTTCCTTTTCATGAAATTTTTGTGACAACCATACTTGGGGTAGATGCTTTGATGGGGGATGTCCATTCTCTCTAAGACTCACTACAACGACCTGCAGCATTACTAAGGTCCTACTCCAGCAGTATGATCCAGGAGAAAATAGCTTACACACAAAAAGAGAAGTAAGATTTTGCTAATATATATTTGCAGAATCTTATAGAACAGGTGGGAGTAGATTTTAAGTGAAGATAGAATATAATACTAAAATGGGCCGAATTCTTTGATATCTGCACACCTTCAGTTTAAATGGGCTAGCTAACACAGCTGGAGTGACTAACAGGCTGCTCGGTTGACTAAAACCTAGACTTAATAATAACCTATGTTTAACAGCATAGAGGTACCAGAAGTTAATTTTCTCATACCAGAGTTAATTTCTCTATAGGCTGGAAATCCAAGATCAAGATTTCAGCATGGTTAGTTTCTCTTGAGGCCTCTCTCCTTGACTTGCACATGGGCACTTTGCCACTATGTCCTCACATGGCCTTTCCTTTGTGCACACATCCCTGTTGTCTCTTCTTTAATTATGAATTTTAGAGGAGCACAGTTCAGTCTATGATACCCAACAACATGTGCAGGAGGGTATCCAAAGACTTAGGAAAATAAAATAAAATTTTATTATGTGGGCCTGTACCCCACAACTCTTAATTGTATTTTAAAAGGAGGTACAGTAGATACTTCTATCAGTATGATCTTGAGAGGTACATTAGTGAGAGGAGCACCTGTATTTCTTTTTTTTTCCCTATGTTTTTTATTATGCATTATAGTTGTGTATAATGATGGGATTTGTTGTGACGTATTTGTACATGCACACAATATAACAATATAATTTTGTCCCATATCACTCCCCAGCACTTTTCCCTTCCTCAGCCCCTGCTTTTTTTTTTTTTGTACCAGTGATTGAACCCAAGGGTGCTTAACACTGAGCCATATCCCCAGCCCTTTTTATTTTTCATTTTGAGACAGGGTCTCACTAAGTTCCAAAGTCCTCACTAAGTTGCTGAGGCTGGCTTTGAACTCTTGATCTTCCTGCCTCAGCCTCTGGAGTTGCTGGGATTATAGGCATGTGCCAATATACCCAGGAGCACCTGCATTCTTTTTTTTTTTTTTTTTTTTTTGTGTGTGTGTGTGTGTGTGGTGCTGGGGATTGAACCAAAGCATGCTAGGCAAACACTCTACCAACTGAGCTATACCCCCAGCCCCAGCACCTACATTCCTAAAAAGTTCTGTGGCTTCTTTCTTTTGTATGCTAGATATGATCATGGAGGATACTGCCATTTTGATGGGCTCCCTGATCATAGTGGGGCTACTTGGATTCCAGAGCAGCATGAGGTCAAATGCCAGCAGCTAATTGCCAAATACAAGGACAGTAGTGCTGCTTCAGTAATCAGAATCTCACTGATCCTGGTCTTCCTAGGAATGAAATAGCTGAGTAGCCTACTGATGTATTCCTTGGCCCATATAATTGAACAACCAGCAGATCTTGTAACCCCAAATTAACATGAGTCACTACATTGGACCACCCAAGTTTCTCACCTAGTTTACAAACATAAGTCAGGTTTACCAATCCAGAGTCTGTTGACTGAAGAGGAGACCAGCTCTCCTTAGAAAAAGACTGCAGCTTGGCATGTACATATTATAAATCTTCCTTGAAGTCTTTCCCAAAAGGACTGGTGGCTTTCAATAGAGTCACTATACTTTGGGGGAAAAGTAATGCCAAAACCACTGAGGGATTGCTAGCTACTGACTATGATTTCAAGCTGATTCTTGGAGATCTAAAGCATCGCTAAGATCTGCCAGTAAAAGTTGAGATGTCAGGTGCTTAAGTGATTGATGGAGCTTTACCTTGAGTCTGACTCATAGTTTTTGCTTCATGTATTTGGGGGGCTTGTTATGTTTGTGCTATAATCTGAAAGTTTGTGTTCCTCCAAATTCATATGTTGAAATCCTTAACCCCCTAGGTAATAGTGTTATGAGGTAGGGCATTTTGGAGTTAAGTTAGATCATGATGGTGGACTCCTTATGAATGGTATTAGTGCCCTTTAAAAGAGACCCCAGGAAGACTGTTTGCCCTTCCATCATGTGAGGATATAGCTAGAAAGTACCTCTAAGGCAGAGAGTAGCACCTAGATCTTGGATTTCTCAGTCTCTAAACCTGTGAGAAATTTCTGTTGTTTTTAAGTCACTTAATTTATTATTATAGCAACTTGAATGAACTAAAACAGTTCATAAACACTTTAAAGAGTTATATATTCCTGATTTGTTGACCTTTTCATTCGCAAAATATTTCTCCTTGACTTTAGAAGTATTCCTTGTCTTAAGTCCTTTATTCTCTGATACTTATGCAACCCCTCCAGCTTTCTTATGCTTACTGTTGGTATTGAATATCTATCTATATACATACATATGTGTGTAATTATATATATATACATATATAATGATAAGATGTCTATGTCACCTGTACATATTGAATGTATACAATTGTGGTTAAGCCACGTCCTCAGCCCTTTTTTATATTTCATTTAGAGAAAGGGTTTCACTGAGTTGCTAAGTGCCTCGCTAATCTGCTGAGGCTGGTTTGAATCTCATGATCCTCCTGCCTCAGCCTCTCAAGTTGCTAGAATTACAGGCATGCGCTATCGTGCCTGGCCCCAGTACTTTTTGTTTTTTTGTTTTGAGACAGGGTCTTGCTAAGTTGCTTAGGGACTCACTATGTTGCTGAGGCTGGCTTTGAACTTGTGATCCTCCTGCTTTAGTCTCTGGAGCCGCTGGGATTACAGGCGTGTGCCTCCATGCCCAGTCAGATCTTACTTTTTTATCCATTCTGATAACCTTTGCCATTTGGATGTGGTTTAGTCTGGTCCCATTTAAGTACACTTTGATGTGGCAGAATTTACATATGTTGTTTGTTTTCTTTTTTAAATGTCAGTGGACCTTTCTTTTATTCATTTATTTATTTGCAGCATGACAACATGCTAGGCAAGTGCTCTTTTGATTTAATTATTTTTTTTAATTTATATCTATTGAGATTCAATATTCATCAGATCTTATTATCACCCTTTCTTTAATTTTATAAACATGATTTCCTTTAGTTCTTTGAACAATTTTTTAATAAAAACTACTTTGAAATTTTTGTCTGTGGGGGCTGGGGATGTGGCTCAAGTGGTAGCGCGCTCGCCTGGCATGCGTGCGGCCCGGGTTGGATCCTCAGCACCACATACATACAAACCACAAAAAGTGCTCTACCACTGAGCCATGACTCCAGCCCATGTTGTTTATTTTCTGTTTATATTTTTCATTCCTTTGCTCTCCCTTTATTGCTTTATTTTGTGGTAAATGTTTTTAATGTGCCACTTTAATTCCTCTGTTTATTTTTTAAAACTATTTTTAAAGTTATCTGGTGCTTTAGGGATTATAATATTGACCTTAATTTATCACAGTCTATTTTAGAATATCTTAATTTCAATAAAATATAGAAATTTCCTTTCAATATATCTACTCTTCTTCTCCCTCTCTTTATCTCTTTTTACATGTTTTAACTTAAAAATACAGTATTATAGAATCTTATATCATTTAAAGGAGATAAGAAAAATTATCTTTGGAGTTATTGGTATTTACCCCTATGTTTATTATATCTTGTTCTTTCATTTCTTTCTGTGAACTCAGGCTATCATTTATTTCTTCATCTCTTATTTCTCATAAGATATTTCTGCTAGCAATTTCTCTCTGTTTTTTGTCTGAGAAACCTTATTTTTCCTTAATTTTTGAAGGATAGTTTTTCTGGGTATGGAATTCTTATTTGGCAGTCATTTTACCTTCTAGCTCTTCGAGTATGTCATTATACTACTTTCTGGCCTCTACTGTTTTTGATTTACATGATAGTCTTTCTCTTGTTGCTTTCAAATTTTTATCTTTGTCTTTAATACTCAACAATTTGATTATAATTATATCTAAGTGTGGATCTTTTGTGTTTATCTTTCTTGAGTTTATTTGATCTGTAGATTACTGTTTTTCTTCCAGTGTGGAAACTTTTAGCCATTAGTTTTTCAAATTCTCCTTCTGTGTGTTTCTTTCCTTTCCATTACATGCATGTTGTTATACTTGATGTTGTTTCATGGATTTTTTGTGATCTACTGATTTTTTTCATTGTTTTTTCTCCTTGATTGAATAATTGAACTATATGCAAAATTACTGGTTGTTTCCTCTGTTATCTCTGGTCTTCTAAATCCCTCTAGAGATGTTTTTATTCTAGACATTTTACTTTTCAACTTAAGGTTTTGATTTAATTATTTTTTTTTAATTTATATCTATTGAGATTCAATATTCATCAGATCTTATTATCACCCTTTCTTTAATTTTATAAACATGATTTCCTTTAGTTCTTTGAACAATTTTTTAATAAAAACTGCTTTGAAATTTTTGTCTGTGGGGGCTGGGGATGTGGCTCAAGTGGTAGCGCGCTCGCCTGGCATGCGTGCGGTCCGGGTTCGATCCTCAGCACCACATACAAACAAAGATGTTCTGTCTGCCGAAAACTAAAAAATAAAAATATTTAAAAAAAAACAGCAGAACACTCTGAGGAAGGCAGAAGCCTGTCTGCTTTTCCCACCTCAGAGATTCCAAAATGCTGTATAATTCCAGGATGCTGTATGATCAGGGGAGGCTGGGGCAGATGCAGACAGGCTCTGCAGGCCACACAGAGAACACACCCAGATTTGAGCTTGGAAACAGGAGGGACCTGAAAATTTTTATAAATGGAGCCTCAGCCTGTTCAAAGGGTATGACCTAAGGAGAGCATTACCTATACAGTTATTTATATAATACTAATTCTCATTGGTACTATATCAAGGAAGATACTCAGGCCACTTCATTCAATATGTAAAGGTGACATAGGCATTCTTGTCATTAACTTTACTGAGAGGTGAGATGATCATAATTGAAAATAAAAAGGCAAACCAGGCTTGATGACACACACCTATGTGCCAGGAGGCTGAGGCAGGAAGACTGCAAGTTCAAGGTCAACCTCAGTGGGGACCTAAGCAACTAGTGAGACCCTATCTCAAAATTAAAAAAAAATAAAAAAAGAGCTAGAGGTGTGGCTCAGTGGTAGAGGGCCTCTGGATTCAAACCCCAGTACCACAGGGCAGGGAGGGGGTGGTTTAAGGAGGTCGTTCACTGGTAGAGCACTAGAGCACTTGCCTTGAGTGAACAAGTCCCTGGGTTCAGTCCCCAGAACACCCCCCACACACACACACAAAGCAGGGAAAAAACTGACAATTATTAAGCCTAAAATTCTGCTTTTTAGACTAGTATTTGGGAAAAAAAATCTTTGTCTGATAAATCTAGCATCTGAGGACCCACAGATATAATTTCTCTTAACTCTTTTTACCCTTAGTATGGGGCACACATTCTTGTTTTTTCTTGAGTAGTGAACATTTTAGATAATATACTATAACAATTCTGAATTCTTACTTTTTTCCCTGCAGGGAGTTGTTTTTTGTTTATTTCTATTAAATCTTTAATGTCTCTCTTTTTTTTTTTTTTTTAAATATTTATTTCTTTTAGTTATTGGCGGACACAACATCTTTGTTTGTATGTGGTGCTGAGGATCGAACCCGGGCCGCACGCATGCCAGGCGAGCGCGCTACCACTTGAGCAACATCCCCAGCCCCTTTAATGTCTCTCTTCTTCAAAGTTTAGTCACTGATATCAGGATTTCTTTTCTTTCTTTTTTTTTTTCTCTTTTGTTTAGATATTTAAACCTGGAGTTATCTTGGGTATCTTAATGTTCAGCTGAAGATTGACCAGAAATTTTGCTCAAGCACTTCAAGGCAATAAGGCTTCCACTCTAAGCTGATAGATCTGTGTGGGGGCTGGGTAGACTGTTAAACATCAGACTGTTTTCAAGTTTGCCTAAGCTTTGACTTTATACTGAGCTCTCTTGCCTCTCCATATGCAGTTTCCATTGGCTAGGGATACGTGGGTGGCTAGGGCCCACTTTGGCTTATGCAGAACAAGTGCATAGGCATGAGTCATGGAAAGATACATGGAGAATTTATCATGAATGACATCCTGGAACTCCCTGTTAAACCCTTGGCCAATTCCCAGTCTATCAATCACCACAAACAGGACCATGATCTCACACCAGGTCCTCCCTGTTTGCTTGCCACTGAGATTTTCATCTTCAGGATGCTCCAAATCAAGTGATCCCTGTCCATCAGTAGCCACAAAACTGTTGGATTTCACAACCTGCCTTGTGGTGAAGCTATCACCAGATAGAGCTGGGAAGAAGGGACAAGCCCCACTCCGCCCCGCCAGAACGTCACAGACTAGTATATTGTTAGCTGAATTTCAGTCATTTCCAGGAACTTTTCAGTTTTTGCCCACCTTTGGTTGACTGGCAGAGTGCTGACATGGCTGGGTTTTTACAGCTTTATTTGATTTTGTGGGAGAGGATTTATCGACCTCCCCCCCCCCATCATGCTGTAAGTTAGCGTTCTAGCATATTTGAATGTATTTCTCTTTTCTACAACAAACATGTTTTTATTCTTAATAGGAATAAAATAATATAAAGGTAGTTATTTTAAATACCTTTAAAAAGGCAAATTAAACCTTACATTCTGAGATCTATTCATACCTTAAGTTGTTGTATCCCAAGCAAACCTGATTTTTCCTTTGTGCAGATGGGCTTGTGTGCAGAATGTGGAAGCCTGGTCCCCATGAACACGCCCATCTGTGTGGTGTGTGAGGCCCCTCTTGCTCCACAGCTGTGGCCACAGGCAAGCCTCCACTTGAAGGTAATGAAATATGATTTTGAAAAAACCCGAATGAAATACATAGAAAGTGACCTTTGAACAATTAGGGTTTTCTTTACCTGGTGGAGTGGGCTAACAAATAAAAGCTAACATTTGTTGAAAAAAATCCATTCAAATTTTGGGTAAATATGCTGCCCAAAAGATAACTTGTAATAGGATCTATAACATTAAAAAAAAATAACTTAGACTGCACATTTTTCAAATATCCTAGACTTTGAGTACAATACTCAAAGTGAGTGTAAGGGACATAAAGGTTACTTCCCTTGAGACAGAAAAGTATATTGAATGCATGATAATAAGTACATATTTAAGAGAAATAAAATGAGGATTATAGCAGAGCCTCCAAGGTGTTTCTAATATCTATTCTCTTTCTTCCATATTAATAGAATCTTTAGTTTATCACAAGGATCAGAAATGTAGGAATGCATTCCCTGAACATAGATTTGAAGGCCAAATTTCAGCATAACTAACAGTTTTTCCCCTGAGATATTTAAACTTTAACATTGCACATTATTTGGCTTATAATCTTGCCCTTAAGTGGCTTCATGCTTTTCTTTGCTCTATTTAATTTGCTTTATTATATATAAACAAAGAATACTTATAACTAGTCACATGGGAAAAAAAGTTACATATCATCACATAAAATTAAAAAAAACTTGACAAATGATGAAAACTTTTTGGTGGGATGGTTGAACATACAACTGTATCTTTTTCTTAATTTACAATTCCATTTACCTCCTCTGTAATCCCAAAGAAACATCAATAGAGGATGAAATATATTTAACTAAGGGATAAAAAAAACAGGAATTTTTAGAAATAAAGAAAATACATGGACTTAATTGTACAATAAGAAATATAATATTTCTAAAATGGGCTTATAGATTCTAGGTGTGCAAAATGTATTAAAAGAAAAGCTATGTCCACTTCTTGTTCTGCCTCCAAGGTTCCTTCACTGTGAAAATTTCAGTAGTATCCCAGGATGTGTAAACCTTCAGAAATTAGATTTTGAGGAACTGGTTGGGCCAAAGTCAGATAGATGAAAATTTACTAAGTGCTTTGGGAGGTAATTATTTTCACCCTTAAACTTTAGAAGCTACCATGGGGAGCTACCAAACGCTTCTCGAAACCCATCTTTAGGCTTCATATACATGAGAGAAAGAAATAAGCTCTCTCTTGTTTAAGCCACTGTTATTTTTGGATGTTTTGTGAATCAAAGCAGAGCCTACTCTTGTTAATATGTTTTCTCAGGATGTTTGGAAATGTCTTTCCAAACTCCTTGGAATATTCAAAACAGGAGGAATAGGTGTCACCTACAGCCTGCATGGGGAGGAAATAAGCAACCCTCAGAGTTGTGGGCTGGCTGGAAATAAAAGTCTGAAAAAGTAATATTAAGAAATAAACACAGGGCTGGGGTTGTGGCTCAGCCGTAGAGTGCTCACCTAACACAGGTGGGATGCTGGGTTTGATCCTCAGCACCACATAAAAATAAAATAAAGGTATTGTGCCAACTACAACTAAAACAAAATATTAAAAAAAAAAAAGAAACACAAAAGATGAAAAATATATTTTTTTCAAAGTGAGGGCTTGACGGGTAGAATAGACCTGTTTCAACAGATGGGTCTGATCCTAAAAAAAGAGAAAAGCCCATGAATGCCTTATTTATAGTGAAACACACCAAAGAAATTTATCGTGAGGAGGGCTTCTTCAAGGTAAATAAGAAGCTGGGGAAATTGGCCCAGGTGGAGACTTATCACTTGCGTAGTTATTCTTCCTCTTCCAAGCAGCTGGACCCTCAAGGCTGTTTAAGTACACTGGTATCTCTTTTACCCAAGGCAAGCAGTCATTTAAATTCAAAGCTATTGAACTCATAAATTCTTTGCCAGGCATGGATTGGGCCCCATTAACAGTGAGCACCTGCAAATGGGCGTGTCTTTCTACACCTTTACATGGAAAGATTCCAGATGGGGCAATCAAGCTGTCCAAGGCTATGGAGTTCAAAGCAATAATTTATTTGCCACTCCTGACAAATAGGAATATTTGTTATCAACTAAATTAAATATGTATCACATTTCTTCCACCTTTAAAATCTATAGTTCTAAGGAGAGAAATAGTAGAAATAGATTGGACTGGACAGTGGATAAGGGGGGTGGATAGAAAGGACAATAGAATTAATTGGTTATAACCATATATTAATTGGTCATAACCTTGTATTTGTATACATGACCAGGGTAACTCCACACTACGTATGACCACAAGAGTGGAAACCTAATAGAACAAGTTATACTTTATGTATATATATCCTGCCAAAATACATTCTACTGTCATATGTAACTAAAAATAAAAATAATAAGTAAATAAATAAAACCTGTAGTTTTTCATTCTAGGAAGGAAAAGAGATGTAAAGGTATAAGTAATTTTTCCTTCAATTTGTTTGTAAGTCCTTTATTGAGAGTAAACATAGAACTGCTATATTGATTAGTAGCATTAAATCCAGGGGTGGTCCCTTTATTAAAGGGCAATTTCTGAAAGGGATGGCCACTTGCATGTTATTTCTATTCCATTGGTGGTCCAAAGTTGGCATATATCTTATAATAAAGAATGTAAGATATAAGAATTCAAAGGAGAACTTAGAAAATCAAGCCTGCTTGACTTCAATGTCACTTTTTCTAAGGGAATTATTGACTTTGAAATTATTGAGTAAACTAGCTTCACATTAACTAAATATTCCTAGAATTTGGTACAGCTTCCATAAAGAGATGTTTCAAACATTAATTTTCAAAAATCATGGGAAATAATGATTGAGGGTATCATTATTTACTACTGACTCTAGAAGTGAGACTCTTGTGATCATTTCTATTGGTATTTGTTTTCCCCTAGAGTTTAGTTTATTTTAGCACTAGGATTCGTGTGTGTGTGTGTGTGTGTGTGTGTGTGTGTCTGAGGTTTGAACCTAAGGGCAGTCTACCAGTAAGCTTTTTGTTTTTTATTTTGAGGCAGGATCTCACTGTGTTGTTGAGGCTAACCTCAAACTTTCAATCCTCCAGCCTTAGCCTCCTGAATAGCTGGGATTGTAGGTGTGTACCATCATGCCTGGCTTATTTTAGCATTACATTTTTATGATCATAATATATATTCAAAAGTGTATATATTGCTTAATTTTGTTTCTTTCAATGAACATTTGAATACTTCTTGGCATCCCCCCTTCTACTTTTTTATTTGGAAACTTGACTACATAAACAGTATACTTCATTTCATAAGAATTCATAGAGTTGTATGAGCCTAAGGAAGTCTCTGGAAACCTGTATTTGGGTCCTTGAATAGGTTGTATTGGGGGAATGGTTCTGAAGACAGAGTGAGGTCTCTAGACCAGTCCTCCATTGATCATATGGCATTTTGGCCTTGTGCCAAACAGCTGGTATCCTTCACCATCATGTGGCCATGAACCTTCCCTTAGCTTCATCTGGTTTCTCTTTGTTCTACCATGTACTTCTACCATGATCTCTCAGGTGCTGAGCAGCTTTTGAAGACTTTTTTGATTTGTCTTTTTCTTAGACCATTGTGTTGGTTTCTGCATACTGTAGTCCCCAGGCTTTCACCCTGAGACTCACTGCCTCCTGCCTAGATGCAGTGACCTGGGCCCCTGTGTGCCATGGTGGTCATGGTGGCTATAGGACAGAGAAGAAAAATTCATTAATTCTATCAGGGTCAGGGCCAGGGGTGGTTTCAAAAAGAAGATGTCATCTGACTGGATATTGTGGGGAGCATAAGAATTTGCCAGATTAAAAAGTGGTGAGACAAGTGGTGGCTCATGTGTAAGCATTGTGGAAGACTGGTAGGGGACAAGGGCTGTTCCAGGCATGTAAAGTCTGCCATGCCCTACTAGTTCATTTCCAACATTCTGCCCCATTTTATTGTGTCAATTAAAGCTTATCATTTGGGTATTTGAAAATTGTTCTCAACTTCCAACTCTTTTATAAAAAGTTTTATCCCATTGACTAAGCTGGGTCTATTAAATTGGGTAAAACCATCCAACTAGATGATATGTTGCAACTGCTGTGGAGGAAATGGAAAATGCAGGTATTGACTTTTTTTTAAGTCATCAATCATAGCTATTTAGCATCCTTGTTAAGGCCATGATGGTGGCCTTTGATGGTGGCCTCAATTCCAAATCATTCCTATGAACATCTATGATTCTATGGATACAGTGGTTGTGATATAAAATGATTTTTATGTGATTGTGGATCATAGTCACTGCTCTGAATGGAAGTGAGCTATGGCATAGTGTCAAACGCCATCACAAAAACCAAGATACCATTTAGTAGATCCAGTGCAGTAAGGTAGACCACCACCTTGAGAGATTCTTTGTAGTATCTCAGAATGGAGAAGATGGAGAGCAGTATAGGCATTTATTACTGGGAATTGATGACTTTGTTTTCCATATTTTTAATTGGTGCATTATAACTGTACATAATGGTTGGACTTGTTACATATTCATACATGCACACAATGTAACAGTAAAAGGAATGGGTGAACTTAAAGAAGGTTTGCAAGAGTGAGCCCAAGTGTGAATTGTGGACTATGAGCAATAATGATGTGTCAGTGTAGGTTCATGGGTTGTAACAAATGTACCACTGTGATGCCTATGTCGACAGAGAGGCTGAGTGTGTGCGGGGACAAATGTATATAAGAACTGTAATGTCTGCTAAGTTTTACTGTAACCTAAAACTTCTCTTAAAAATAAGGTTTATTAATGAAAATTTTACAATAGAGGTTTTGCAAGGCAGGACTAAGATTGGGCAGAGTGTAGACTGGGCAAAGCTGTGATATACAAGTTTTGGTTTGTGGACCCTCCAAGATGGTATCTTGAAGTAAGATTCTGGACTTGATAAGTAAATAACTTTAGTTGGATTACAGTCTTCTCTTCTTAGAGGAAGTATCTCCTGCAGCAAACAATAAAATCATTTTTGTTCTATTTCAGTACTTTTAAACACCAGAACAAAAAAATTGTCTCACTTCTTAATGAGTTTCACTAGATCATGTCTGAGTTGACACCTTCAGGCATTTTGTAGCCTAAATCTTACAGAAAAACTCTTGACAATTGCAGATTATTCTGTGGCAACTTTAAGAGACGTTAGAATCCTGGACCCAATGAATATCAGGAATTAGGCACAAGACGGTGATTCTCTGCCACTCATTTAACAGTTAACCTCTGTCTGCCCTTTAGGAGTCGCTTACATTGGGAATGTGGTTTCCTGAATAGGTACAGATTCCTAAGAAAACGTTAGGAATCTTCTACTGAAATGGAGTTAAACAGACTTTGAAATGCTGGGATTTTATAGAGCTATGTAGTGATATTATAAATCAAATCTCAGATGTTGGGATTTATTTTCTTCATGATCCTTTACCTGTACCAGTTTCTAAACATTCTGTATTAGTTTGGGGATGCCTAGACCCCACAGTCCCAGAGTGCAAAGGAATATTCAAGCATCATGGTCATTGAAAATTGAAAAGATAGTATCTTGAGAGTACTGGATGACCCAATGTCAGTAGGTATTAGCAAACTCCCAATAGCTGAACCCTAGTTAGACTGTTTTGACCACCTTTTTCCCTTCTCCACCTCCTGTGTTGTACCTTAACCCCAGGGTCCTGACTCAGAAAGTCGTACTTACAATTTCTTTTCTAAGATAATCTTTCCTCTTTCTTTCTTTCTTTCTTTCTTTTTTTTTTTTTTTTTTTTTTTTTTGGCACTGGGGTTTGAACCCAGGGATGCTTTATCACTAAACTACATTCCTACCTCTTTTTATTTTTAATTTTGAGACAGGGTCTCACTAAGTTGGTTAGGGCCTCACTAAATTGCTGAGGCTGACCTGGAACTTGTGATCCTCCTGCCTTGGCCTCCCAGTTGCTGGGACTGCAGGCATGTGTCACTATACACAGCTACTTCTTTCATTTCTAAGTGAGAAACTTCAGAAAGAACCTAGAGCCCCATGGGTAAAACCTAGTCCCCAAACAAGATTATTGGAAACACAAAGAAGCTGGTCTCGAGTCTTTCTGTTTACTATTTATGCTATGAAACGGAGAGCCTACTGACCATCGGACTTCTCCCATTGGGTGATGGGGATGGGAAACCTTACATACAATCAGTGCATAATTTTTGAATGTCCTTCAAAGACCAAATGAATACTATTTTAAGTTTGGGATTTTGTTTCTTTTAAAACTATGTTAATTTATCTGATGCTATTTATTGTTGTAATAATTCCTAAACCAATCTAATCTTGAGGACCTTAGTGTTATAATAGGGTCTAGAGCTGGATGACTAACTACAAAGATTGCTTGATGATTTCTCTGCAATGTTATTTGCTCAGTTGTTCTTCTTCTCTGTTGATAAGGAGAAAGTAGTCTGCCGCACCTGTGGCACAGGGAATCCTGCTCACCTGAGATACTGTGTCACCTGTGAGGGGACTCTGCCTTCAGCACAAGAGGTAGGTTGACTGTATGTGCCAATCCTATATCTGGGGGGGGGGGCTACTAAATGTTTGATATTGATGTTAATAGAGAGTTTAATCTGCAGTGGGGTAAGAAGGCTCCTTCACCCAAAAAACCTTCTCATGGTAAACTAAAAGCAACCTTGCTATTTGTGCAGAGGACTTTATTATTTATCAATACATACTTGTTCTCAAAGTCTCAAAGAGAATTCAGCAATATCTACAGTTTCCTAAGAACTTTGCAAGGTCAGCTGGCCGTAGCATGTGGGGGAAATGGACCCATCCACATTTTAAGTACAGACAAGTATGTCTCTGTTGACTATCTAGATGCAAATGCTGTTTTTAGAAATTAGGAACATTATAGCCCCACTTCTTAGGTTTCCTGCCAGCCTATTTTGGGTGTTGAAATGAAAGAATAAGAGAATACGCAACTTAAATACCATTAATGGTTTCAGTTTAGATGATTTATTTTACGTTCATAAAAGGTTTTTGATGAGATTCCAGGTGACTCTTGCTCTGGCCTACCAAGAAGAAATTGGCATTTAATAGCCAACCTAGAGGAAAAAAACTTGCTTCATTTGGGCTACTATATGTATTTTCAACTGTGGGGTTTGTTCTCATCTTAAAGAGATTCCCTGGGAAACTAAACAACATGTGATGATTAGTGTGATTAACATGATTAGCATCAAAGAGAAGTATGTTAGTTCCCTAGAGATGCCAGATCAGACCACAAACCATTTCACAGTTCTGGAGGCCAGAAGTCTGAAACTGAGGAGCAAGTCCTGGAGAAAGAACTGTTTCAGCCCTCTATCGTAGCTTCTTGTAACCTCAAGCTTCCCGACTCCTAGATACATCCCTCCAGCTCCTGCCTTTGCTGTCACATGATGTTCTCCCTGTATCCCTCCACATTGCTTCCTCTGTGTGTCTGCCTCTATGTCATGATTTCCCCTTTTTATAAGGACACTAGTCATACTGGAATAGGGCCCACATTAATGACCACATTTTAACTTGTTGACCTCTGTAAAGACACTTTCCAAATAAGGTTACATTCTGAGGTATTTAATATAAGGACCTCAACATACATTTTTCTCAAGAGGCAATGGAAGCAGTGGACAAGATACCTGTGGGGTGTGTGTGTGTGTGTGTGTGTGTGAGTGTGTGTGTGTTGCTGGGGATTGAATACTGGGCATCACAAATGCTAGACAAGTGCTCTACCACTGAGCTACATCCCCCACCCTGGTCAAGATAGCTCATGAGGTTGTAACTAATCACTTGACAGCCTTAAGACCTTGATTTGAAGGAACTTTGTTTTTAGATTTATTGAGCTAGGATTAATGTGCAATAAAATTCACCTATTTAATTGTAGAGTTTGATGGATGTTGGTAATTATATATAGTCACTTCAACTACCACCATGAGGAAGACATTGAACAGTTCATTTACCATAAAAAGTTTTATCATGCCTCTTTGGAGTTGAGGCCCACCCCCTAGTCACTAATCCCAGAAACCGCCCATTTCTTTTGACACTATACTTTTGCCTTTTATAAAAATTTGTAGTTTTTTTGTATTTAATTTCTTTCACTTAGACTGCTTTTGAGATTTGTTCATGGTGTTGCATATATTAGTATTTTAAAAAATATTTTTTTAAAATTTTGATCATTGAATAGTATTCCTCAGTATGGTTATACACTATTAATTGATTCACTCATAGGTGCTTGTGCTGTTTTCAGTTTCAGAATATTATGAATAATGCTACATTCACATAAAAGTCTTCGTGTGGACCTAGTTTTTTTTTCTTTTGGATAAATACCTATGAAGTATTTCATAATTTTATTAAATAATGCTTCATACTGTTGTCCAAGATGACTACACCACTTTACATTCCTCCCAGCAATATACAAAAGTTCCTTCCAGTTTCTCTCCATAAATACCAACACTTGATATTAATTGGGCATTTATTCATGATAGTCTCTTTTTAAAAAAAATTTTTTTTTAGTTGTAAATGAACACACAGTATCTTTATTTATTTTTATGTGGTGCTAAGGATCAAACCCAGTGCCTCACAGATGCTAGGCAAACACTCTGCCATTGAGCCACAACCCCAGCCCATGATAGTCCCTTTTTATCATTTTAATGTCTGTAGGCTCTATAGTGATCTTCTTTCTCTCATGCCTGATATTTGTAATTTATATATGTGTGTTCTCTCTCCTTTATTCTTTTTTTTTAAGAGAGAGAGAGAGAGAGAATTTTTTTTTAATATTTATTTTTTAGTTTTTGGCAGACACGACATCTTTGTTTGTATGTGGTGCTGAGGATCAAACCTGGGCTGCACGCATGCCCGGCGAGCGCGCTACCACTTGAACCACATCCCCAGCCCCCTTTATTCTTTTTCTGTCTGTTTGGCTACAGATTTGTAAATTTTGTTGATTTTTTTTCCTAAGAACCAGGTTCTGGTTCATTGATTTTTCTCTGTTGTTTTGCATTCTGTTTTTCATTTTGTTTTTCTATTATTTCTTTTTCTTGGGATTAATTTGTTCTTTTCTCATTTCTGAAAGTGAGAACTCAGGGCTGGGGATGTGGCTCAAGCGGTAGCGCGCTCGCCTGGCATGCGTGCTGCCCGGGTTCAATCCTCAGCACCACATACAAACAAAGATGTTGTGTCTGCCGAGAACTAAAAAATAAATATTTAAAAAAAAAAAAAAAGAAAGTGAGAACTCAGATGATTAATTCCATATTTTTTCTCTTTTAAAACACAAGCTACAGATTTCTAAGAACTTCTCCAGCAGCATTCACAAATGTACTTATGTTGTGCTTTCACAATAATTTAGTTCAAAATTTTCTAATTTTTGTATGATTTCTTCTTTGACCTATGACTCATTTATAAGGTGATTGTTTAATTCTCAAATTAACTTTTCCTAATTATCGTACTTTATTGATGTAAAATTTAATTAAATTGTGGTCAGAGAAGACATTCTATATGATTTCATTTTTTTAAATTAACGAGATTCATTTTATGGCCAGCATATGATTTAACTTGGAAAACATACAAGGTGCGCTTAAAAATAATGTGTGTCCTATCATTGTTGGGATAGTATTCTCTAATATCAATTAATTATAAGTGGATTGTTGTATAGATCTTATGTTATTTTTATACTATTGTCTAGTTCTTCTAGCAAATATTGAAAAAGGGGTATTAAAACCTTCAACTACAGGAAGCAAAAGACCTTTACACTGAAAACTGTAGAACATTGATTAAACAATTTGAAGATGACACAAATAAATGGAGAAACATCCTGTGATTGTGATTGGAAAATTTAATATTGTTAAAATGTTCATACTAAAGATTCGAGATGGCATTCAGGCATGGTGGCACATGCATATAATCCTACTGAGGCAGGAGGCTCACAAGTTTGAGCCCAACTTCAGCAACTTAGTGAGATCCTGTCTCAAAGTTAAAAATAAAATGGGTTAGGAATGTGGCTCAGTGGTTAAGGGTACCTAGGTTCAATCCCCAGTACAAAAAAAAAAAAAAAAAAGATTCAAGATGGCAAATAGGGGAAAGGCTGCATTTCCATTTGCTCTGTGACTTTGGATTCAAGCAGCTGGAGTACTTCTTACTGAGCTGCTAGGAATCTACAAGGATGCTATAAGTTCATCAGGTAGAGACTAAACCCAGCCAAGAGATAGTGCATCTTGTTCCACACACAAATTAATCATACTCAAACTTCAGCAATGCTTTAATACAAAAAACAGAAGAGACAAACTAAAAACCAGGCTCCAGCTAGGAACAACTGGGCGGGGGGTACTCAGGTCCCACTCATGGACACCTACTCAAATAGAAAAATCAGAATTAACACCAAAATTATTGATATCACACCTAAAAATTGTCTCAATCTAGATCAATCTAGGGCACTTTGGCAAAAGAAGTCTGTGCCCTAAAAAGGCTCACACATAAGAGTGGAAGAGAAATCCATCCCAACAGATGCATAAAAATCCAACACAGGAATAAGGAGATAAAGATATTGAAAAAGAACAAAACAGAAATCTTGGAAATGAGAGATGCAATAAATCAAATAAAATGTTCAGCTCAACATCTTAATAGAGTAGACCGTACTGAAGACAGAATCTTAAAACTGTAAGACCAAGTGGCTGACCTTGAAGATGCAGACAGTATGAAAGAAGATAAAATAAGTAACCATGATTGGCATACAAAAGAACTCTAGGACAACAATAATAAATAAAATTTAAGAATCATTGGAATTGAAGAAGGTTGTGAGATGCAGGCTTGTAGCATGGATAACCTCTTCAGGGAAATAATAACAAAAATTTCCAAACCTTGAAAATGAGATGAACATCCAGATACAGAACTGCAAATAGACAAGATCAAAAAAGAACTTTTCCATGACATATTACAATTAAAATATCGAACACATAGAACAAATATAGAATTTTTTAATATTTATTTTTTAGTTGTAGGTCACAATACCTTTATTTATTTATCTTTTTTTAAAAAAATTTTTTAGATGAGTAGATCTTTATTTTATTCATTTACTTATACATGGTGCTGAGAATCAAACCCAGTGCCTCACACATGCTAGGCAAGCGCACTATCACTGAGCCCCAGCCCCAGGCCCTATTTATTTATCTTTATGTGGTGCTGAGGATCGAACCCAGGGCCTCACACGTGCTAAGCGAGCACTCTACCACTGAGCCACAACCCTAGCACAAATATAGAATTTTTAAGGTCACAATAGAAAAAAATGTCAGGCCATATTTAGTGCAAGCCAATCAGATTACTTCTGATTACTTCTCAGACAAACTAAAAAATCCGGGAGAGTTTGGAATGATGTGTTCCATGCTCTGAAAGAAATAACTGTCAACTAAGGTTGCTGTATCCATAAATTATCCTTCAGAATTGGAAAACCTTTCAAGATAAGCAGAAACTAAAGAATTTATGACCACTAAGCTGGCACTACAGACAGTACTTCATATAGAAGA